CTCAATGCGGCACTAACACACTGTAGTTGAAGTTGTAAATTGGTCCAATCATTCTGAAAATCAATTTGGAACAATCACCGAATAGTCAAATGATATAAACAAACCTTTTGCAAAAGAAAATTGGCAAAGTATTAGCAACCATGCGAAAGAATGTTTCAAATCAATAACAGAATTACAAATCAAATTAACCCAGAGGTTTTACTCCACATTCAGCAAATCATCAATGATGATAAAATATAAATATAGCCAATGGTGGAAGATTTATCAAAAGATGAGTATATTAATGTGTTGTTGATGAAACTGCGAATTAGTAGAATCATTCTGGAAATCAATCTGGAAATGCTATCACAAAAAGTATTGCTAAAAAAAAAGTGACTAAAATATCCATGCCCTTTGAGCCAGAGATTCCACTGTTAGGTATACATATCAAGAAATTCAGTTACAAAGAAAGGTCCCATACTTCCCAAAATATTCATTGTCACACTTTTTATAGTAACAAAGAACTGGAAACAAAGTGGATGCTCATGGGGTTTACTGTAAGAAATTATGAACATGATAGATACAGAGAAGGATAGAAAGACTTGTATGAACTGATTAAATAACAACAATAATATTTATATAGCACTTACTATGTGCCAGGCTTTGTGCTACATGTTTTACAAATATTTTCTCATTTGATCTTCACAGTAACACTGGGATATTAAGTGCTATTATTATCCCCATTTATATAGCTGAAGAAACTGAGGCAAACAGAGGTTATGTGACTTGCCCAAGGTCAGAGAACTAGTAAATGTCTGAGGCAGGACATAAATTCAGGTGTTCCTATCCCCAGGGCCAGCAGTCTACACCACCTAAGTGATGTAAGACAACGTACATGAAGAAAACAATGTAAATAGAACAAAATAACTGACATCAAATTTTACCGAATTATAATGACTAAGCTTTGCCTAAAGAACATAGATTAATGAAGTATTTAATTGTGACTTTATAGGTCTGATGGTGAAGCATGTGTCTTACCTTTTGGCAGAGACCTAGTAGATTATAGGTGCAGAATGAAGTGTACCATTGTGTGTGTATGTGTGTGTATTTTTGCCATAGTCAATTGTGTTGATTTGGCTTTACTCTACTTTTTGTTGCAAGGAAGGGTTGTGTTGGGTGAGGTTAGTCATTGGGAGATGACAATGATGTAAACAAAAGAAAAGAGCATTGACTAAACATTCAATGTTAGAATGTAATTTCCTTGCTAGAAGGAAATGTTTCATTTATTGCCTTTCTAGTAATGTTTTCAACATCTCTTTTTATAAAAAGAAAATTGGACATCCATCTTTTTTCACTTATGGTTAGGTTCAGATTTACAGGGTAGGTCACCTTGGGCTTCATCTTGAGTTCCATTGCTCTTTAGAACATATTACTCCATCCCTTCCTGTAGTTTCTGGTGAGTGCAGAGTATCTTCTTATCTGAATGTCTTTTCCTTTATATTTGCAAGTCTTTCTTCTGGTCACTTTCAGAATTTATGATCAGTGGCATTAATAAATTTAACTGTGTTTTGGAGTTTGCAACAAAAATTTATTGTTTTTTTTCACCCTGCAGGTGATTTGTGAATTCTTTCAAAGGGCACTGTTTAGAAATTCTGGGCAATTTTTTTGGTACTATTTATTGCATTATGGGGTTCAGGTTTTTTGAGTTATCATGTTCTTATGCCTTGTCATGGGAGCCCGGTAAACCTTAAATTTTCTCTCTACACAGTATTTTTTTTACCTGTTTGGAGATTTTCTTTTCATGTTATTGCTTTTTTGTTTCTCTTCTTCCAGATTGCCCTTCACTTCCATACATTTGGATTCCCAATCAATTATCCTCTTTTGTTTCTTTGGTGAGACTTGTCACTGTAGATTCAAATTTCTCTAGTTTGCCAATTATTTCTGCTGAGCGGGCCATAAATTCTACTTTCACAATTTTTAGCTCTGTTTTAAATCATTTGGGACCATCCTTCTGCAGGTTTCATGATCTCTTAATCCATAGGATTCTCTCATCAGGTGTTGATTCATATTCCTTTGTTTTATATTTATTCACAGATGGCCTGAACTCTTACCAGATCTGGAGGTAATTTTCCCTCCTATTAGTATCTTCCCTGTCAGTTTATTTGCTTATGTTCAGTCTATAATTTTCCTTCTTCCAAGATCTTTGGTAATTCCAGTCTTTTTTTCCTCCATATTTTCCCCCCTATTGCTCACTTTCTGACTCCTTCCTCTTTGATGGCAATTTCTCTAGGGGCTGGAACTCGAAGGATCTCAGCCTCCTCTCATGCCAAGCAATTCAGAATTCACCAGCCTACATAGTACCCCAAGCGACATCTAGAGGGACAATACTGATGAACTGGATACTGAGCTTTTTCCCTTAGGCTTAGTGGAGTGCTACATGGTCACATACATCCTGTCCTCTTTTCCCTCTGTTCCTCTTTTCTCTAGCTGATCTCTGTTGCAGCACAGAGTGTTGTCACACTACTGTTACAGTCTGAACTGTAACATGAGTTCTGTTGCCATGGGTTGGCAGTCATGCTGCTGGGACTTTTGTGGGCGGAAGCAGAGGGGGCACAGAATGAGCATATCAGGGGTTAAGGATTAGTTTGCTATTTTTCATCAACTTTTTACTTTGCATTGTTATCCTAGTCTGTGAAGGCAGGAGAAATTGCTTTGTCTCTGAAACTGAATTCCTATTTTAGAGAGGTTTGAGAGGTTGTAAGGATTGTAGAAAATGTCTAGTCTTCTGTCTTACAGTTTTGTCTTTGTATGTCTAGTGCCTAGCACAACTGGTGCACATTAGTTCTAAATAAATGCTTGACTTGAAAAGAAAAAAAAAAGGATTTTTATACTTACAAACTCAATATTTTTAATAAATGCAAGTCTTTAAAATTGTTTTCTCTGTTATTGTGGTCATTATGCAAACTGTTCACTTGGCTCCACTTGTTTCACTCTTTATCAGTTCATATCAATCTTCCCAAGTTCCTTTGAATTCTTCATACTTATCTTATAGCACAGTATTTTGTTACATTCACATACCACAGTTTGCTTGACACTTCTCCCAACCAATTAATACCCATTTTCCTTCCAGTTCTAGCTACTACAAAAAGTGCTAGATATTAAGTTTTGTATACCTCTCCTGTTTTTTTTTATCTCCTTGGGTATATATAACTGGTAGTGGCATTTATAGGCCAAAGCAACTTTTTAAAAATTGTAATTCCAAACTGTTTTCCAGAATTTGGTCCAATTCATAACAGCGCATTAGTGTGCTGGTCTTGCCACAGCTCCTAAAATATTTGCCATTTGTCTTTTGTCATCTCTGCAAATCTGCTGGGTATTACTGCCAAGATCTTTCTAACCTTTTGGGTTGGCATGCTACAGTTTAGTCATACCGAGCTGGCAAACCCAGGTCTTTTTCACACTATTGCCTAGACCTACTTCTCCCATTTTATACCCCTTCCTTGATCTCTCCTTGATCATGGAAACTAAGCTCCTAAATGTATGGCTGCCCCCAGTGATGAGACATTCTCATTTCTATATTCAATTCCCAGTTTGGTTAAAACTAGAACTATTTATAAATTACCTTGGGCATGTAAGACTCATGAATATTATATATACACTTCATAAATGAATGAAAAACAAGGAAGCAAAACAGCCTGCCCCAAAGCAGCTTTTAATAAGGAAGACAATACATTCACTTTAATAAGTGAAGACAATGCTCCAATGAGAGTCGGAATGAGCAGCAAAAGGAAAGGGATAGGTTATACTGTGCTGTGGTTTTGTTTGGAAATGGTTAGGTAGGGCTCTGGTGGGAGGAAACAAAAGTGCTGGAAGAATGCAGAAATAGCTGGGAAGTAAGCCCAGGGTCCTAAGGGCACAAATTGAGTTCTTATGGAAGTAGGAGGAAGGCCAGATTGTGGGCAGCATAGTTTGGAAATGGCTAGGAAGTCACATGGCCTAGTTCTGGGCAAGATAATATTGATCCTTATTGAGGATCCCTTACCCTCAAATCACGTGATAATGACAATCTCATGCAGGATACTGTTCTGAGCCAAGTCTAATTTAGGTCAGGCTAGTCCAATGGTTCAGAATTAGGACAGGAATGCAATCAGGCCCTTGTGGGTCATAAAACATTTGACGAGAAGTTTACTCAACCATAAAAAGGATCAATAAGGATACGTTGATTTGAGCGGATGGGAGCTCCCTTCTGCTTCCCCATCTGTCACATTAATGGCAACATCTAGAGCTCTATGTTGATTCTGAGACTACTACTGGGAATTATGTCAAACTTGATGAGGACCAACTTCCAACAGACCATGCTTTTCAACACTCTGTGAGGCCAGAAAGTCACACCACTGGTTCAACTCCAAATCCCCCAGGCATGAAAAGAGCCCCTTTACCCCTTTAGAGGGAAAGCAACCCAGCCTACAGGAAACAAAATGTTGCTCCAACCATAGATAACAAAATACACCAAACATAAATGATGGCATTACCAACCATGATTCCTGTTCACATGTGTGGGTATGTTTGAAAAAAGTGTAATACACTAATATTTAGCACAGTTAACCTTGTTTTATCCATTTTGGCTATCATAACAGTCCCCAACAACTACAATATTTGAGAGAAGGGATTGTTTCTTTCTGGGTTTTTTATGTCTTTTTATTCCTAGTGCCTGGCATATAGTATAGGTAGTTAATATGTATTGACTGACTAAGGTAAGAAGATCTAAAGAGATACCATTCTCAATTTTCACCTGATAGATAATACAAGTGACTAATAATAGGACCAAAATCATGTATAAGATCTTGTTTCCTCAAAACTAAAAACATTCACACACATATAGTAAGTTTTATCGGGGGAGGAGGAAGAAGATTTGCCCCAGAGATATAGCTAAACCTTTGTAGTAATGAGGTAGATTATGACTGAATTATTCTGTACAAACAAAAGCCGCAAGTTTTTAAATGCACAAAAATATTTTCAAGATTTTTTAAAACAAATTTATTACATGAACTGTTGCCTCAGATAGTATTTATACTTTAGACTTCTTTAACAAGAAATCCTACAGTACACATGAAAAGAACTTATATTTCTATATACCCTTCTGTACAAAGACATTTAATAACAAAATAACAGTGCCTCTAAAATTTTAATAAATTGCTTTAATGAATAAAATTAAATTCTTTGCTGTCTAAAAAGGAGTCATCTAAATTTGTCAGTCTAAGCAAAACCTACGTTCTACTAGCATACTCATTCTAGAATAAATACATCACTGCAAAGCTTCATCTTTTAAATAAATTAGCACTAAAATAGCACAAAGAAATGCAAAAAAAAAAAAGATTCTTATGTCACATTTTCATTTTATTAAAATGGCTTTCACAGGCCATGAAAGCAGATCCAAATTTGTACAAAATTAACACTGTAAAATTATTAAAGTATTTCAACATTGTAATCCCATTTTGTAGCTAAAACTCCAAAAAAAAAAAAAGAACAATCTTGTCACTTTTGCAAAAACTTGTAAGTTACAATATTATTGGAAGGAGAAGAAAAGGGTGGCCAACTATAAGCAAACTTAATATATAAAAATCTACATTTACAAAAAACATCAGAAACTAGCTCTTCACTCTTTAAAATAATTCTTCAAAAGAAATACAATTCCTTTTAAGGGCAAGAGTACCTAATGCATTTAAAATATTTTACTTACCCAAAATAAAAAAAAGTATACAACTTTTTACAACTTGCAGCTACTGCATAAAATAGAGTTGTAATCAGAAGTATTATATTAAAAAGTTGGTACGCCATAAATTACTGCTAGCTCTAGCTATTTGCAAGGCTGCTAAAATCTTCGGTTTCCCATATATCACAATAACTCATATTACACTCATTCATTTAACTTCCCTTTAAAGTATTTTTGCATAACAAAATTTTAGGAAGTAACTAACATAATGTATCTAAATGTGTGTTAACATAACATTCTTTATAAGATTTCTCATTTAAGTATTCTTTTCAAACTGGTATGACAGTAGCCAGGTTTCCAGATAATAGCTTTATAACTGCCTATAGGTAAAATCAGCCCTATTTGCTTTAATATACTAGAAACATGAATGGGGTAAAATAGTACCAAACAATAGGATAATATTTGGAATGTCTGTCAAGTTTATTGCAAACAAATGTAGATGCAGTTCACTTTCTGAAGCATACATACCTCTCAATTATATATTCCTATATTCTTATAAATGTAATTTATCTCGCTGACAACACAAGATGTTTTAATTTCTATTGCTGATTAATTTTGAATTGGCATTTGCTACTAATGAAATTTATAATTATTTTCTGCTGTACAACTGAAACTCATCTGCAATTAGCTTGCTAATGGCTTGTAAGTAGGACAGCTCCCATTAAAAAAAAATAAACACTTTGTAAAGCAAATTATTTTCTCATAATAAAGAGTATCACCACCTAGCTTGTCAATTTGTAGGTTCAGATTTTCTTACATGTGATTTCTTAAAATAGAACATAAATAAGTTTTTCTTGTACCATAGCCACAACTTGAACATTCTAAAAAGCAATTTTTTTTTTGCTCTTAGGGAATAATATGTGAATATATAAACAAATCATTTAAATTAATAAAAGAAAATGTGTAGGGATTCGCTCAGCATCAAAATTTAATTTGTAATTCAAGATTTCAAAACAACAAAAAAAAGGTTAAAGAATATTGTACCCTGATCAAAGATCATTTTTACTGAAGAATATAGTCAATATACAACTGAAAGCTCAAACACATTTTTTAAAAGAATGCACTAACATTAAAATGAGTACTTAAAGGAGGTATAATAAAAAGCAAATAGGCACTATGAGATAATCACCTCATTTTAAAATACAAGTTTTGAGCATTTTAAACATTAAAATTAAGCTGCCAAAATCTGCATGAAATAGACATTCACATCACTTGTTTTAATGATAAATACTTGACCTATAGATGACAAATCTAGAAATTACACAGGTAAATTTAGTTATTTTAACAGGGCACCACAGGCACCATTAAATAAGATGTATTTTCAGTTTTGTTTCTACCAAAAAAGGTAAATAAACAGATCAAGTAACAAGACAAGATGGAATAAACTTGGGGAAAAGGCACATCCAGGCAAAATAGTCAAGGCAATTTGCATGAAGCATTATTTTCAAAGCAATTCTACTGTGCATAATTGAATCTAAATGAGTCATTTTGGCAGATTCTAAAACATGACAAAGCACATTTAGTTAACTGTGCAAACATCAAAACACTAATAATTTAATGCAGTCTGTATTACTTTAAAATATATGTAAGGCTCATAAGAAGGTACATCACAAATTTCTGCAGAGAGATTTGGGGTTTGTTATTTTTGCAAAGTAATGTGTTATTCTAAAATGAATACTTTTGTTTTCAGGTACTTAATCGTCTTTCTGGTCTTGGCAAACATTTCATAATTGCAGCTTTCCATAATGCTGGGGCAAGCAAAAGACTTAGAGTAGTTACACTCAATATAAGAAGGTAGACCTGAAAATGAGAAAAGCAAAATCATTACTTCTTTATGATTCACACAATAAATTAAAGCATAGCATAAAGTTAATAGATTCTTAGACTAAAATAGGTTGGAATTATAGTATAACAATTACAAAGTATATAGTATTCATTTAATAAATAACATAAGTAATTTAATAGACTGGAACCTCACTACACTTCTTCCTCTGGGTCTCCTTTTTAAATCAAAATGCCTCATGAAGTAGTCCTTTTGGTATTTCTTGGTTCTCTTAGATGGGGTTGAAGATGGAGCTTCCTTTAAACAAAATTCCATTCTCAAAGGTTGAGACCTATACTTTAGAAATAGGGGATATACAGGGAAGTACAATGAGGAAGTGTTTACTTGGAAGAAGTAGCAGAATGTTGTGATGAGAGCAGAAATAAGCCTCAGTTTATCTCCTCCCTTTCCTTCCCCTGTAAAGTAAGAGTTTGGACTAAAGGACCTCTTTAAGATTGACATTTGGAACCAGGTGTTTAAGGAAAAGTATTTTTATTTTCTTGAGCTTGAACCCATATTAGGGATTCCCTTGTAAGGGATATCATAATAGGTGGATAGCTCATGTGTTCTACTAGTACACACAAACCATATGAAGACCAAGAGGAAGGAGGCTTCTAGCGCATTATAAGTGTATATTTTTTAGAGGTTTATGGTAGAATATGGACAAAAACTATATGCAGGATGAGATGGTGTGGATGGGTTACAATCTGAGTCAAGGAAGCGAGCATCCTATGACTGAAGTACAAGGATCAAATGAAATCAAAATTTATTTTGATTTTATCTTGAGTTAGTGGCAGGTGCTAACTATATGTTTCAGTAGGAACCCAACCTTTTTTAGAGAGCCAGCTTATATAACCAGGTGCTAACACGGCTTCCTGGGAGTGATCATTCCCACTATATAACTTGGGACTGCTTTCCTGGGCTCAGAGGCTACCAAAAGGGCATGACCAAAGTGCAACAGGAAACCGATGGGCTGAGTTGGGAAGAATAAAAATATGGCAATTCTATCAGTGCTTGTAGGTTTAGAGCAGGGAGTGGGGAACATGGAGATTACCAAGTCCAACCCCTTGATTTTACAAGTGAGAAAAGTGAGGACCAGTAAAGGTAAGGGACTTTCCAGGTTGTACACAGCATGAGGGTGGCCGTTGTGTGTTGCCTGGTATCTGGGGAGAATTTGAACCTGAATCGTGTTCTATCCATTATGCCTAGCTACCCCCCTTTTACTGAATATTCCTGAGTCACAAACTGGAATGAGTTGAAGTAAAAATCTACTCTCACTTCATCCTTAATACTGTTCAGTGGAGCAGTAGATAGAGCTCCAGGCTTGGGGTCAAGAAAACCTTAGTTTAAATTCAGCCTCAGTCACTTACTGTGTGACTCTGGACACATCACTTAACCTGTCTGCCTCAGTTTCCTCATCCATGGGAATAATAAACAGCACCTACTTCACTGGGTTATTGGGAAAATCTAATGAGATAACTTATGTAAAGTGCTCTGCAAACCTTAAAGTGCTATATGTATGCTCGATGTATTTCAACTAAAGGAAAGAATATTCAAAAAGGGCCAAAAGGCTAGGCAATTTTAAGTTAGTTTAATAATTTTACTCTGAGGAATGAGTAAATGTCTACAAAGGAGTTGTAAAAATGCTAATCATTGGGGCAACTACGTGGCTCAGTGGATAGAGCTCCAGCCTTGGAGTCAGGAGGACCTGAGTTCAAATTGGGCCTCAGACATTTGATACTACTAGCTGTGTGACCTTGGGCAAATCACTTAACCTCACTAAAAAAAATGCTAATCATTATGAATAAACTGAATAATAGCATCTTATACATTACAAACAGCTTTCTTAGCTAAGATCCTGAAAGGAGCTATCAGGCAGATGTGGTTTTATATAACAGAAGAGGGAAAAACTAAGGCCAAAGTGGAAGAGACACATATTTTGACTCACATAAATAACAAATAGCACCTCACAAATGTTATGGAGGAAGAAACAAAGGATCCGAGTTCAGATTCTGTGTTTACTACTTAACCTTTCTCAGCCTCACTTGCTGTGTATATTTTTGTGTTATTCGATTTATGTTTATGTTGTATGTATTTATAGAGGTACTTAATATCTCTCCCATTAGACTGTAAGCTTTTCGTGAGTGTGGACTGTTTCAGTTTTTGTCCTTGTACTTCTAGGGCCTTGCATGGTGCTCAGCACCTGGCACACGCTTCATAAATCTTTGGTGACTGACTGGACCAAAGGACTTCTGATGTACCTTTCAGCTCCCATGAGGTGAGTATTACAGGTTACTAAAACTCTCATTCTACAGATGAGGAAACATGCTCAAGAGAGGTTAAGAGACTCAATACGGTCACTCCAGGCTTTACTAAGCCAAAATGCATGTAAGGGCAAACATCCTAATAAAAAGAGGCATACAAAAGTAGAACGCATTTCAGGGGGTGGCTTCCCCCTCCCCGGAGAGGAGGGGCTATGGGGGTACGACAAGGATCATGTGGAACAAGTCTTGTTTGTTTGGTGCCTTGTTACAGAATGAGTCCCTGAACCTCTCAAAGCTTGTTCGTGGAACTTGTTCATCTCTCCTCAGGTCTGGTCAGAAGAGAGAAAGGTAGTGACGGGACTGTACTACCAAGCAGAGCAAAAGGTCTCTCCCGGCATGGGGCAGCCACACATTCCTTCTCCCTCATGGAGAGGACATGCTCCATCTGGCGTCCCCACCAAAAGAAGGCAGACATGGCTCCTCGGCTGGCTTTCTACCCACTTTCCCTCTCTGGGCCCATAAAGCCAAGGTGTAGGCAGAAGGAAAACAGTTGGTGTAACACTTAAAAGACTATATCAATATAGGCTTTATAAAGATTATTATGACTTTAAGAAATTCCTGTTTCAGCATGGCTGGGCTGGCCAGAATGAGGGCCACAGTTCTTTTTATCAGAAGTGCGTCCTGTTGGTGTATGAGCAGGCTGTACTACTGACCCATGGCTTTAAGATACTAGGATTCTATAAAATTCCCATTTTACACAAGATGCTGATGCTCCAAGGGGCTAAATCATTTGCCCAAAGCAAACCATAAATGAGTAAATGGCTGAGAGAGAAATCAGATCCATCATCTTCATTCCCTCCCACCTCACCAGAACCTTGGGTCCATGGAGCCAGCCCGGACTCTGATGAGGGCCTAGAAGCACGGCCTCCTCATCACTTCCCTGCTGCCATTTCCAAACCACGTGAATGTGGTCTTCATTCCCCCTCCTTTCCAAGTCCCTTTTGTGTGTCCCTCCCATTAGAATGAGAGTTCCTTAAGGGCACAGAATGACATGCTTGCATTCCCAGGCTTCATGTACTGGATTATACAGCTATCTAAATCTAAGTCATTGGTCTAGTGATCTTTCTGTGCTAGAAACCTTACCCGCACAGTTTTCCTATTCATTTCTGTATAATCTGGTGCTGAACGCTCCCAGTTTAGAAATATCAGAGCAGAGCTTGTTCCCTGTAGCTTGCTCATCCACCAGGCCTATTTTGTACATGTGTTCAAAACTGATGATAACAGTTTATAGAGTTTGCTGGCCCTCTGTAGCAGGTATGCCATTTAAAAGTATGCCAAACAGTCAACAAAAGAGGCTTTTTATGAGCAAATAAAGTAATTTATGTTTAGATGACTGTCCAACTCCAGTAGTGACTTAAAAGTTTAAAATGTATCTGATTTTCACTTCTGCTTATTAGTGAAAAATTTTCTCCAAATAATAGTATTAGTTTTGCCTTTTTTTAACTTCTAAAACGTTTTTCATAAATAAAATGACAATCTGTCTAGTAACTATGAATAATAATTAAGATATTTCACCGAACAGTAAAATTCAGGTTTTCATTTGATGCTAAATATTTTAATCTTAAATAATTTATTATTTTACTTTTATAGCAGGGATGGGGAAGCTTTTCTCTCTGAAGAGCCCCTTCAGAAAATAACAAGTAAGATTAAATAAGCAAAAAAAGTTAACTTGAGAAATATATAATTTAGAGAGCATTTTCCAATCAAGTTTTTAAATAACACAGAATACACAATTTTATTAAATAAATTTAACAGAACTATATCACTTCTATATCATAGTTAGTTATGGAAGAAAGAAAGAAAAGATTGAGTAAATTGGAATAGTAGGAGAAAGAAAATATAGGAGGGAGAGAAAATGCAGTCTAAAGGACAGAAACATACGTATCTACCTACAATAATAGAGACTTCTAGAAAGACATTTACCAAAGGTGCAGAGAGAAAGACAAAGGGTCTCATTAGCTACATGCTAATATAACAGGCAACCAAGGGAATAAATACAAATTAATATGCTTATAGTAGCTAAAATGCAAAATGGATGTTTACCAAAGCTCTTAGAAGCAAAGATCCTACACTCAATTGAAACTATAGCTCTTTCATAGAGAAGGAAATTTTTAAAAGCATAAAAACTTTATAATATCTAGATAAAAGAATAACAAGTACCATCAGCAGTGTTTTAATTCTCATCTACTGAAAATGCATAAGCCTCAGTTTTCCTAAATACTTTATTTTAAAAGGAGGAAGGCCTTAACCTACTTTGGAAAGTAGGGAATACACAGGCCTTATGGTTTTCAATCTGATGTTTTCTACACTATAAAAGCCTAAATCATATTATCACTTGGTATTTGCCCTGTGGGCTGGGGGTTCTCTACTCACATCTCATAGTGAACAAAAGAGTCACAAAAAGGAATTTCATATCCAAACTAGTCATAAGAGATGAACTTTAATAACTTTCCCAGGACAGCTATTATTTAGAGAACTAGAAGACAACTTTTAAAAGAACAGTCCGTTGACTCAACTTTAAAAGGTAAGCAGAAATAAACTAAAAAGCAGTAAACTAGGAGATTGCGAAGTGCAGTCAAAATAATGCTAAATTAGTAAGTAATCAGGGAACCTGGGTTCAAATCTGGATCTTGTCATGTTACCTGAGTGATCTGAGGCAAGTCACTTAACCACTTTGGCCCAAAGTTTCCTCATCGGCAAGAAGAAGTTGGGACTGACTAGAGGACCTTAAAACCTCTTCTACATCTAAGCCTAAGCCCATGATCTTATTTGCAAGTAGTTATGGAGTCACTAAGTTATCATATCAATAGAAGACAACCTAGGCAGGATTAACTAGTAAGTTGAATTCTAGAAATCATATACTAGCCAGAAAGAAAGTTTTAATTCCACAAAAGGGTCTTAGCTGGAATTTTAGAATGCCTTTTCATAATGCTTGCTAAGTATAACAAAAAGTCAACATAACCCAAATGACAAAGTATAGCACATTAAGCACAGAAGCAGTGAATCCAAAATCTTAACTCTAATAATAACTATAATCTTGAACAAATCATTCAATCAATAAGGATTTATTAATCATGTACTAAGCAGTGAGAATACAAACATGAAAATAAGACTATCTCTGCTCTCCAGGAGCTTATGTTCACCGAGGAAAGGAGTCATTCAGCACAACTGCTAAGACTTGGGGTTTGATGAACTATAGAATGGTTTGGGGTGGGGTGAGAGGGCCATCTATTTTGGAGGAGGGGTATCTGGATCTGTGATTTCACTTGTACATTTAAGATTTTTCAATTAAAAACAGTTTTGATCTCCTGGTCCTCTATACTTTAAGTCAGAATATGAACTCACAGTGTTATCCTAAGAACAATTCAACTTGTTATGAAGCATTTTTAAAACAGCCAAAGAAGAGGAAGTGCTGAACTAGTCAGCTGGGCGAGGAATTACAAAAGAGCTACTAGAAGTTTACCTCTCTCGAGATGATCCCTGCTCTTCGAGCTCTACTTCCCAGGACAAAAGAAAACTCGCTGACTTGTGCCAGCCCCGCTGAGACAATCCACTTGATGCACTGGCTGCTCTTTGGCAGGGTGAGGGATAAGACAAACACTGCCAAGACAAACTTTGAGAGCAACATGCACATTATTATTATTCTTGAAATGTTCAAACAAGAAACTTTCAATTAACATATAGAAACCACGCAGAAGATACAGAAAGTCAAAGGAGAAAGATATAGATCTATTCCAACAATATATTACACTGAGATTTTATATATGAATGCACCTTACTTTCTCAAAGTAGCATAAATGTTATTATGGTTAATAACAGCATGAAAAATTAGTGTGATGAAATTGTGAAGAACAAAAAGACAAACTGGGAGTTGCCAAGCCACCTAGCAACTACCCATCAGCTGATGCTAATTAAGTTTTTATTCTAAACTTTTTTATTATACATTATGTATCATGAAAATATTTCAGAACAACTTTTAATCCTGAAAACTATCCAGCTAATAGGATTATCAAGTCTAAAAAAATATTAGTCCAGACTGGCAAAATATCACTAAGAAGGCACTATTGTCAGGACCTCACTCCTCAATCATGCCAAACCCAGTCCAATCTAGCGTATGGTTTTGATGATGGCATAATCCAAACCCAAATAATATTAATTACTAGCCCAACAGAGTTAATCATAGCCTTTTTTTTTTTTTACCAACAACCAGCTTCTATGACAAAACACAGCTAAGGCACCCAAATACTGGCTGGTGATGGCAACTAACCCCTACACTTTTTTAAGGCAACATAAACATTTTACTTTCTTCATCCCAACCTCTGGCCCGTGGAAAGAGCAATGGTTCTGAATGCAGAGGATGTGGGTTCATATCCTATCTCTAAAACTGACTACTTCAGAGTCTGACCTTGGACAAATCACGTAATCTCCCCAAACCTCATTTTCCTCATTTGAAAGGTGACAGTTATGACAGATGGTTTGGGAGATCCTTTCTAGTTCTACATCTATGATCCTGTGATTATCCTTATTATAAACCCACCTTCCATGTTAGGAATATCAGACTAATATAAAACAATGGCCCAACACGGAGTTCTCTTTCTCAGACCGTCTTGGAGGCTGGGAGGCAAAGCCTTCTCTGATGATATATGCGTTACATACAAACGAAGAACATGGAATGTAAGAACTGAGATTTCAAAACAGTCAGCAAATTAAATATATGCTAGTCAGTAACTTTGGATACCTGGCTTTTTGCCAGAAGATAACCCCAAATGCAAATAATCACAAGAGGAAAGACTTGAATTCTAGTCCCAGTTCTGCCACTAATTAGATGGTAATGTGATACAGTGGAACAAGAATTAGATTTGGAATCAGAGAACCTGAGTTTGAATCTTGGCTTTTATACTATGCCAAATTCAGCAAAAAAAATTTAACCTCATTGTACTTCAGTTTCCTCATCTGTAGAAGTGTTAGATTAGGTGACATTTAGGATTAGCTACAAGGCTATGATATGATGATCCAACTCTACTTTGCTTTTCTTTTTCTCAATGTAGCCAGAATACCTGGATTTGAGTCTCATTTACTGTACTTTCTAGATGTCATTTCCTTCTGGAAGTCTCTCTTCATCTGTAAAATGGGGATAATGATATTTGTTCCAACCATCTCACATAGGTGTTGTAAGAAAAGTGATTGATAAGCACCACGTAAATGTAAATGATTACTATTACCAGGAAGTAATTTCAGTACTATAGAAGACAGAGCTCTATAACAAAATATAAGGATAGTATCCATTTTGCTGGAAATGACAAATAAAGCTACTAATAAAAATTATACCTTCATTATTACCACTGACAAGGTAAGGAACATCAAAACGGTGAGTTCATATATTACAAAAGTGGGAAAAACATGGAGACCTGTGAGAAAAAGGAAAGAACAAATTAATTTCTTATACTTTTTATATACCTGAATAAGCTGCAAAAGAGCTTTACTTCTAAATTTCTTAACAACTAAAACATTTGTGCTTATCTACACTGTCCTTAAAAGAATACCCTAAACTTTTTTTTAACTAATAATTGCTATAAGATAAACTGGGGGCTTGGGGATTTTCTTCCTATCACCTCCTACCTGAATCACTAAGCAATCATTAAATATGTGATTATCAGTTCCATTCCCTGTGATTCCTCATTCTGACTAAAAAAAATGTTTTTGGTTAATAGGAAAGTGTGTTTCCTCATCTTCTGAAAAAAAAAATTGGATCTCATCATGAGAAACAAGCTCTAATGCTAATTCTCCTTCATTAGTTTCTAGTAATCAAGATATATTTATTGTCTGTCTACAAAGAAATAATAATCCACAAGGAAATTTAAACGTAAAAAAATACAATGCAGAGTCAATACTACTATCCATCCATACTTGATTACACTGAACTAAGCCATATACCCCATGCAAACCGACTGGAGAAAATCAGACTGTACCTACTGACATACTTTCTGTATTCACTATTTATACACAAATTCTGAAAGAGCAAGAAAAATATTTGCCTTACACAGCTCCTTCAATACACAACTAGAAAACCATAATTCCATCCCCCCACCCCGGTTTTATACAGCACTACCCTGCCAATAGAGGCTTCTCTAAGAGAACACCTTTATAAACAAATGAATTCAGCAGCTAGACACTGGCTGACTGCGTGAAAGAGCTATGAGGGGCTCACTCCTCTATTCCCATCCAGTTGATTCTTTGTTCCTATCCTTCCTTATTGCTTGCATCTTCCTGCTTTCCTTAGAATGGGGACACAGGGCTGCCTATGATTCAATGTACCTCCTCTCCTGTCAATTTTCTTCAATGCAACAAATACGTATGAAGTATTTGCTATGTGTAAGGCAACATGCTAGATTCTTAGGATACAAGGACAAAAACAAATAGTTTTTGCCCTCAAGGAGCTTGCATCCTCCTAGAGATAAACTATTTAAATAAGTAAGTAAATGTGAAGTAATTTCAATAGAGACAGTACTAACAACCTGGAGAGACCAGAAAAAGACATGTAGGAGGTGAAATTGAGCTGTGCTTCAGAGTTCTATCATGTGGAAGTGAGGAAAAACCCATTTCAGACATGTGGGGAGCACCTGTGAATGGAGAGGGAATGTCCATGTGGGGAATAGATAGAAGCCCATTTTTACTGGAAGGGAGAAGACTATGTAAAGTACTGTGATCTAGAACTAAAGAAGTAGTTAGACTGCAGAGGACTGTAAATACCAAGCTGAAGATAGGTATTTTCATCCCAGATGCTATCTAGAGCTACGGAAGATTTTTAGGAGCGTGGGAGAAGGAAAAATCTGGCAGCAGGGAGACCAAGTAGGGGCTACTCTACCAGCCTTGGTAAAAAGTGAGAGGGGCTCAATTAAGACAGAGGGCATGTGAATGGAGAAAAGGGGAAGGACACAAGATCTGTTGTAGAGGTTGGATGAACCAGAAATAGCGAAGATTTGTAGGAAAAACTAGCTAGTCTTTCCTTGGAATTAATGTTATATAAGCCCTAAACTTGAAAGTTGAAGGGGAAATCTTTTCAATTATTTACAAAGCATCTTCTTCTACATATCTCTCTTTCAGAAACATATGACACCAAAAAGCCTTGATTTCATTAAACCTTATCTCTACTACAATATAAGCTCCTTAGAACAGGGAGCATATCTTATTCTTTTCTGCATTCTCCATAGTATGTAATAAACAAGAGAAAAGTTTTAGAAGGAGGTCTGGATTCTAATTAGCTTTGTCACAGATTAGTTTGGTCATTTTTTAATTAATAAAAAGAGGCAACAATCTCAAAGATTACTCATAGCTGCCAAGAGTAGTGGCTAACAGAAGTGAGATGCTTAAATAATTCATGCCCACACTACTCCTATGTTAGAATGAAAATACCTACTAGCATGGGAAAAAAGGAAGGGTAAAAATGATAACAACAAAAATAACAATTAAAAGTAAGCTCTACAGATAAAGGAGGTTTTAACAAAGTGGGAAGTATCTTAATACTGTAGGAATATAGAGGCAGTTTTTAGGCTTTGTGAAAACTGAATAATCATTCTTCTTTTAAAAAAAATTCAAGGAATTAAAAGTTATTAGTAATTAATTATAACAAAAACAAGCATATATTTTACCCACTGACAAGGCGTTTAAGATATTAAAACCAGTCTATATGTAACTATATGCGTGTGTGTGTGTATATGATTATATTCCATTATATTAGGTTTTATTTGAATTAGTCATTTCTTCTATAGTGTTTTTTGGGTTACATGCTAAGCCTTTTTTCTCTGTCCTTAAACCAAAAATGTTCTAGAAGAAATTTTACTTATTAAGAAATAATCATTAAGAGGGTATTGAATCATTTAGCCCAACAAAAGCATTGGCTTTTGGATCTAATGAAGAAGGTTAAGGTATTTTCCTATTTAAGTAACATCCACTTGCCTGACATCTTTATAATTTCACTTCATTAGCAGATTAACCCAGAAAAGTCCCTAAAATGACTTCATAGGCTATTTTTAGATAAATTTATCAATTGACTCGATAGAGATGATTAACACAAACTACCTTTTGTATAATGAGAGCTAAATAACTCAAGCCAAAATATGTAAAACTGTTATTATTTTATTGGAGAGCAACATATTGTAATTCACATTAAAAAACCCAATTCAAAGATAAAAAAAACTTAAATATACAAATTTCAAAATGCAGAATATTGATGGATATCCAGCTCTTTAAAAAAATCAACATTTAAAACATACGGGGTAAAGCCTCTTATTTACAACACTATAATATAGACTTGATCCACAACTTTCCCTTAGACATTAAGTTTCTTTTATTGTTAATATACTCATTCCGCCCCCAAAAGTAGGCTGCACTACTAAGTATAAAATTAGTCCTGAAAAATAGGTAACGGTATTTCCCTTTAAGGTATTTAAAACCTTATTTAGATACACAAAGCTGTCCACAAAATATTATACAGGCCCTACTTTTAAGTGCTTCACATCATTAAAGATCATCAAGTATGAATCTATAATAATCTGTCTCTGGAGAAAGTTGCTAGAGTCTAAGGTTCTCTGTGAGCATGTGGTGCTTATAATTTACTTATTATTACTGAAGTTGAGATCAAGAGATGACAAGCAAATGACATGCGTAGTTTTTCTTAATTTATACTTTTCTGGAGCTTAGGAGAAAAAAAAGTTTTAAATGGAATGGAAAAGTGTCAAAGAGACATTTTTGATATACAGCAACCAAAACTAAGTTTCCCTGATTAAATCCCATTCTTATAAGACTTGCTCTAACCACAGAGAATAAAGGTATATGTGTACCAGAAATTTAAATAAAATATATCTAGAATATGTAGGTTTGCCATGTATGTTGACAGTCTACTATGATTATGGGAAGATATCTCATCCATGCCTACAAATTAGAGGGTCTACAAAGTTTGAACTGGGGGGAGAACATAAAGGGACATAGGTAACCCTCTCTACTGATTCATGCAGCAGAGGAAAGTTCTAGGGTACATATGTAAGAAGGGATCTGTTCCCAAAGGAATGCAGTAAGAGAATGACATATCAAACTGCACTAAGGACATGGAGAAAGGCTTGTGCACCTCCATACTTCCTAGAGGGAAGCATGAGCAAAGGGTAAGCCTGCAACCAAGCCACAAACCTTCAGATTTTATTTGGGCTAGTCAGAGAAACACATACAATAGAGAACTAGTATTGAGAAGTAAACTAGACCTATTACTACTACCACTATGAGTCCATGTGGACTATAAAATTCTGTGGGAAGATGGGAGCCACAAGAAGGAAGAGGGTTGCTTATGCTCTTCAGACAGGCAACAATGTTCTATTTTGCTTTTCTGTTAGGTTTAATAAAAATCTTTCCTATAGTCAAATGTCTTGTTAGAATGAGTGCTTGTAGGAGAGCTGATCATTCTTTCTTTTTCGAAAGCAAAAGAACTCTGATACTGACATTTCCTGGTTTTTCCATGTGTTGAGCCAGACTCAATTTTTGAGAGATCCCTCCCCTTTCACCCTCTAATCTATATTCAGGTTTTTGGTGTAAAGGACTGGGGCCCAAAACACACAGATTATAAGTGCCAGAAAAATAAAGATTGCTTAATAAATGAAATTAGATTGTTATGATGACAACATAAGTTACCTATAGATGCAAAGAAAATGATGGCCAAAAAGTCCCGTATAGGTTCAACATAGGACATAATTTCTTCAGTAACCATATGTCCTTGAGAAGAAATCAATGCTCCAGCCAAAAAGCACCCCAATTCCATTGAAACATCAAGAAGCTCTGTAATCTGTCAAGGAAGATTAGAAGCTTAAAGTTTACTCTTGAAGTGTACAATATGGTAGTCCTTTATTCTGAATTTTTATTCCAAATTATAATTACAGATAGAAATATTCTTTTTCGACTAAGTATAAATATTTTACACAAAAAATTTCAATAGTGAAGTATCTACAAAATGTTAGGGTTAACAGTATTAATAACCTTATAGAACAAAACAGTTTTCTTTAAGAATGTAATCACTTAATAATTATGATTTCCTTAAAGAATGTCTAGATTTTAAAGTATTTCATGTAAAAAAGTATCCTCCCTATTTAGCTGCCAACTTCTTGTCAATTAAAAAAAAAAGAATAAGATAAATTGTATATTACCAGATATCTACTGGCCAATGTATGGTGAAAAACATTAACCCATACCAAAATGGATTTTTTCCACAATTATCTAGATAACCTTCTTAATCTATATTTCACTAGCTGTGAAAAACAACCTAGCTCTTTAACTCTACAGGCCAAATCTAAACAGGAAGGCAGGCCAATACAATCAATTTGTTCTTTTGTTTGTTCCACATCTACTTGTCAGGCTCAAACAAAGCATTATTTTCTCTTCCGTGATGACTTTTAGTTAGTAAGCTATAACTTCAATTATTAAATTTATTTTTCTTAGAGGTTACAGAGTACACATTTTCATTTAAACTTGGTTAAATCACTGCTCATTCTCAGTAATTGTTCATGTAAACTATGCATAAGTGAAAATCATACTGCTTGAATATAGGCTTTATTATCATCCAGAGTCAAGAGAACGAGATTTAAGGCATATGTGTTTCTCCCTCCAATAAATTATTTTTTTCAAAAGAAGTATTTTTCACTTAAACATTGAAAATCTAGGAGGATAATGAAATAAAACTCGATTAAGAAGAAAACTTAAAATAATCGAAACATTATTCATATAGCATATTATTGTGAATATTGAGAAATACTTTCTTGAATAATTTAAAATGTTTTTGGCCCTTTTTTCTCACCTCAAAATCAAAGCTTGGGAATCAAGAAAATGTATAATGCAAAATGACTGTTTCTTTGCTCATAACTACTTTTATTAAGAAAACAGATATAACCAACAATATTTGGATAGCCAACAGCAAGAGACCATGAGATATTATCTTTTGGAAGTGTCTACTTTTGAACAGTTAAACACAAAAACACTGACTATACAAAATAAAAATGACTAAAATTCTAAGAAGAGAGTAACATAATATCTATCTATATCTTATATAGCATGATATAGTGGATCAGTGGTCTTACTGCCTAGAAAAACCAAATTCAAATCCACCTTTTAACACACATTGACTGGATGACCCCGAGCAGGCAGCTCAAAGACTAGAAGGGCACCGAGTGTTAAACCTGCATTGAGAGAGGTAAGTTCCTTATTCTGAGAGTTTTCTATACCAGTGACAGGTCCAGTTCCTGTCCTTTTCCCTTCTGATTACAGGTAAGTCTACTAGCTTTGGATGTCAGAAAATCAGGTCACTCTGCGGTAAGTCGTTTCACTGCTGAACTGTCAGAAAGGGCTGGTATTTAAAGTTAAGTGTCTTGATATGGTATCAACGCAAAGCAAAGCACAATGATTTTTTAAAGTGAAGTTAACTTCTTTGATGATTCCTTCCAAGAATCTTATACTTACATGAAAAATACTCATAAAAGCAAATGTCTGATTTAGATGATTAGAACTGATTATTTAAATATGTAAAATAATAAAAATAAAAAATAATTTTAAAACTTAACTTTAAAAAACACTTCAAATAGTTTGACAGAAGAGGAATTAGGTGGTACAATGGAATAGATACTGGTCCAGGATTCAGAAGACCTGATTTCTTTTTTCCATAAGACAATTGGGGTTAAGCTAGTAAGTGTCAAGTGTCTGACATATCTGAACTCAGGTCCTCTTGACCCCAGGGCTGGCGTTCTATTCACTGCACCACCTAGCTGCCTCAGAAGACCTGATTTAAAAGCTTGGTTCTGCCACTAATCAACTGTATCAAGTCACTTTACCTCTGTGGGTCCAAAATTTTCTTGTCTGTAAAAATGAGAGGTTTGGATCAGGTGATTTCTAAGGTTCCTTGCAGTTCTAATGTGACTTGATCATTGGTGAGAAATTAAATTCAAAATAGAATAAGAACTGTTTGGAAAAAATTCAAACTGTATTTAAGACTATTTTAATTCTCATACAGATAGCATGACATAGCAGATATAAAGGGTCTTGGAGTCACAAGGCCTGTGTTCAATGACCATATCTTACATTCTAGCTGAGTATCCTCGGGCAAGTTGGCTCTCCCCATCCCTCACACCCTTTCCCAATACTCTCAAACTATCCAGAATCAATGACAATTTCCTTTAGTTTATCTAAATTTTTATATAGTACTAAAAAGAAGCCTAGTACTTCTTACCGATTCAAGAACCCAAAAGAAAAAATAAACATGTTCTAAACAGTTTGAATACATACAGTAAAACACAATACAGTCTTGATAAGACATAAAGCATGATATTATAAGAGCCAACAGAAATTAGCAGGCATCTTAAAAAGATGGGTTATTTTTATAATGTTTGTAGCTTGATGTAGGCTCCAAACAAAAAAAAAGCATACTTAATCTAGTCAGATCAAGTAGGTCAGTAAAGGACTATGCAACAAAGGGAGAGCAGGTAAGATACAGGGTCAAATAAAAAACATAAACATTTGGGAAAATAAGAGTCAGTGAAGTGAGAAGCATTTTTTACTTTTATGTATCACCTACAGAGCCAACAATGAAATGGTTTTGGCCTATTCAAGAAAGATTACAAAAAAGAGAAAGGAGCAAGGAAAAGACAGTTTTATTAAATATACTTCAAAGAGAAAAATACTCAGGAATAGAGAATTGATCATTCAATTGCCCTGATGAAAAATGAAAATAGCAAGGCCTGTATTTTAACATGTTTAGAGATTACTGAAGTTAAAATGACAGAGTATCAACAGGATTTGACAAAGAACCTAGACAGGATAGAAAGGAGGAGTCAGGTCAATCAATAAGCATTTATTAATCACCTACTCTGTACCTGGTACTGTACTAGATAATAGGGACACAAATAAAAAAATAGTCTCTGCCCTCTGTGGGGCTTACATTCAACTGGGAAGCAACTAAAAAACAGGATTCTGAAAACTTGGGGTTTGAAAAACATAGAATGGTGGCTCTGTTGTGGTTGAAATCTGTGATTTCATTGGTGTAGGGATCCAGTAAAGAAACTCCCCACTTTTTATTTATGCCTCAAAATTTATTTTTTCTAAATAAAAACAATGTTTACTTTAAAGATTAACAAAATACTTAAGAAGATAGTTTTTACAACATGACAAATCTAGAAAAATGGAATATGTGACAGAATACTGGAGAGCAGAAATAATTAGCTCAAAGTAAGTTCTAAAACTAAACCTCCAGTCTTGCATTTTGAACAGCCTAATACTAGGACATCTCAACATGGATGTCTCATAGACATCTTAAGCTCCATATATCCAAAGTTAAATACATTACTTTTGTCTCCAATCCCTCCCCACTTCTTAACTTCTCTACTACTGTTGGAGGGTACCACAATCCTCCCAGTCACTGAGGCTCACAAACCAGGTGTCATCCTTAACTCCTCACTCTCATTTTCTATATCCAATCAGCTGTCAAATGTTTTACAACATTTCTCATAGATACCCCCTTCTCTCCTCCAACACAGCTAATACCCTCAGGTAGGCCCACATCAACTCATGCCTGGACTACAGCAACAGTATTTGGTTGGTTTCCCTGCTTTAAATATCTCCCTACTTTAATCCATCCTCCACTCAACTGTCAAATTGATCTTCCTCAAGGACAGCAGTGACCAAGTCATATACAACTGTCCTTCTTTGCTACCAACTTCCTCCATTCAATTAACTCCAGCTTCCCTATTGCCTTCGGGATAAAACAGAAGATTTTATGATTTATAAAACCCTCCAGTCTTCTTAGACCTTACTCCCCTCCAAATCCTCTGAAATCCAGCAACCCCAGCCTCCATGCCCATTCCTTCAAACAAGACACTTCCACCTCCTGATTTGGTGCCTTTTCTCTAGCCCTCATCCATACCTAGAGTTCTCTGCCTCCTCCCTGCTTCTTTTAAGTCTCAGCTAAAGTCTCACCCTCTCCAAAAAGCCTTTCATGATCCCCCTTAATACTAACAGCTTTCTTCTGCTGCTTACATCTCATTTATTCTGCATCTATCTAAATGTAGTTTTTTGCATTTTGCTGCCCCATTGGTCTGTGAGCTACTTGAAAAGTGGGTCTGCCTCTCCCTATATATCCTCAATACTTAGTTAGTAAGGCACGTGCCAGAGAGTAGGTTCTTAATAAATGCTAGTTGAATGACTGATTTGAATAAAAGTGATAGCTAATTTAGGAAGTCTTCTGCAGAACAGAAACAAAAATTAGCACAAGACAAAGTGAGATATGTTTAAAGTACTGGCACAGACAAAACAGTCCTGTGGAAAGATTTTTGGACTTAGAATCAAAAATCCTCAGTATAAATCCTACCTGACATTTACTAGTCAAGTCAAGAACGATTTATTAAGCATTTCCTATGTGCCAGGCACTGTTGCTTATTATTAACAATATGACCGCAGACAAATCAGTCTATCTAGTCTTCAATTTCTTCATCTATAAAATAAGGATAATACCTCTAAGCCCCTACCACACAGGGTTGTTGTGAGGATGAAATGTAGAAAATACTTTGAAAACCTTTAAAGTTGCTATTAGAAGTTATTTTTGGTATTAACAGTTAAAAAAAAATAAGATGACTATGAGAATTAATAAAAGCAAAGGAAATACACATATCAGAAAAATATTCTTTTATTGTCTAATGTTGTGAATGATTAAAAAATCACTGTGTACAGGGTCAGTAGTGACTTTCAATAAGATTTTGTTTTAAAAAGTCAAAAGTAATTGATGACGAATACTGTTATGAATCAGATACAATATCACTTAGAGCTTGGCAAACACTGAAGTACTATAATACAGTAACTATATAAATGTTGGTTATTATTATCTCATTATTTTCTTGGAACCTTACAACAAAACTAGACAAAACTCAATACTCTCATCACTTCCCTATGAAACTGATTTTCCTTATTTCTATCAATGGAATCATTCTTCTGACATCTTAACCTAACTCCTTTCTAACTCTTCTCTCCCCTATATTCAACCAGTTACTATACCGTCTGTTCTTTCTGCCTAGTCTCTTCCCTTCACTTCAATCACATTGCTGCCATTTTAGTCCTTGTTACCTCAAACCTTGATCATTGTTATAACCTATTAACTGATCTCTGACTGTACTTTATATTCCACAATTACTACCAGATTAATATTCCCCCCCCCAATGGATCCCCAATGCTTTTTGTATCAAATCCAAATTCTGTGTCCTGGCAGTCAGAGTTCCATCTTACCTACATAACTTTACTTCCCACTACTTCCCAACAGGTCTCTTCCACTACAATCAAGCTGGTCTTATAACTTCCACACATGTGGCACATTTTCTCCTGCCATCACAAATTTGCTCATTCCCCCACCCCCTCCTCAGCCTTACTGTAGCACCAGGACTATGCTGATAAATGTTTAACAACCAGCTCTCTGAGGGGAAGGGGGAAAAAAAAACCTTGTATACATTTCTAAGTTCAACCTGTATTATTAATATTTTCTCCAGAATTTCCTAAGTCTACCAGGGATACCAAAGGATAAAAATCATTCTATTAAAAGGGATTTGTTCTGTGAAATTTGGATTCAGTCAAAAGGCCACACTTGAGGACCTAGAGGGACATATATGACTGACCTTGAGGCCGCAGGATCCTCATCCCTGCCAATCAACAAAGCAATAAATCAAGTCCTGATTTGTGGCATTTGCCAATTTCCAAGGTGTAAATACTCACAGTGAAAATTTAACAACTGGCTTTCACAAACTAGTACAAAGTGGCTCCAGTGCATTGTTAATGACTTTTTTTTCTATTCTTGACTATCAAAATGCTGTCCATTCCTCAAGGTTCCTTATTCAAGGCTTTACCCTTTAATAAAGTATTTCTCAATTGCTTTGGTTCACACTAATCTTCACCCTCCATTGTATTTTTTGTCCATACTATATCCATAGTGACACCTGACATATGTAGTCTTGTGTCCTTGTGCATGCCTTATTTACTTAGACTGTAATCTCTTCAAGGTTCTACACATAATAGACAGATCAGGCATTTGATATTTATCGAATTGATGATATACTACCTGTAAATTGCCACTGATGTTTTAATTCCTTAACATTAGTGCTTTTTTCACATACACAAATGGCTGTAATGATTCCACTCATTAAATCCACAGGTAGTAGGCTAAAATTTTGGGTGATGAGTTGAAGATGATCATTTGAATTTATATAACAAGTAGAAAAGATATAGAATCACCACCATTTGAGAGAAGGCAAAACCACAGACAAAAAATATGAGTGCATAAATTCCCTGAAGAGTTAAAGTATGTAAGATCTTCACTGATTTATTCCCATCTAAATTATATTATATAATTCTATTCAGAGAACTATCCTCTCATAATTTAGGGAGAACAGTAGGAACATTCCAAGATTAGAATTTCCTATTCTGATGATTAGTTTTTAACTTCTTGTTATTCAGTCATGTCCGACCTAGCAAAGATACTGGAGTGGTTTGCCATTTCCTTTTCCAGCTCATTTTACAGATGAGGAAACTGAGACAAACAGGGTAAGGTGGCTTGCCCAGGGTCACACAGCTAGTAAGTATCTGAGGTCAGATTTGAACTTAGGTCCTCTTGACTCTAGGCCTGCTGCTCTCTCCACTGTGCCACCCAGCTGCCCTAGTCTTTAACAAAACCTGAGGTTATGACTTGCAGGTTTCAGTGCATTTAAAATAAAGCCCGTTAAAAATATCAGCATATAGAATTTTCTTTAAAAGGATATGTTTTTCTATTTTCAGATGTTTATATTTTCAAATTAGATAGTTTAAGAATAAATTCAAAAAACTGTAGTGATTACAAAAGCTATATCTTTAAATGTTAACATTTATGCAAAGTCTAAGACAGTTATTGTGAGCTTCTTTTGAAGGGTGAAGTGAAAACCAGTTTAACATATTTACAAAATATTCATAAAAGCCCAAATAATTTGTAGAGAAATATTTTTTTTAACAAAAGAAGTGAGGTTTTTCCCTCTCTTTTTAAAAAAAATCATTTAATAAAGTTGATTATTAAGCCTATCAAAAAAGATCTTAATAAAAGCTGAAGGAATCTACTTTTAGCAATTTAACAGTAAACTATACTTCTACCTTTTAGTACAAAATTATACTGACTTATGTGATGATATGAGAGTTTTGTTTTTAATTACTCATTAATTTGGTCTCTCTCTTTTTTTAATAATAAGGAAACTGCTAAATTAGGTCACCTTGTCAAAGATAAGAAAAAAATTAAATTGCCTGTCTTTAAAATTTCATAAAATCTATGTCCTCTAACAAAACATTAAAAACCCCATTTATCTCTGAACATCTTGAGTTTTAAGAATGAGATCTACATTTCTGGTTATTCACTGTTTTTATATTAAAGGTTATAAAAGGTTCAATTCCATTAACCCTATGATCAGTCAGTAGCTAGAAACTTCTTCGGTTAGAAAGGAGCTGTCTGAAGCAGAATTTCATAGAATACCACTTCCTTTATTACAGCTCTCTTATCCCAATAAAAATGCCATTGTGGTTCTGTATTAACATAAAAAGAACTTTTTATTGCCTGGAGAAATTGCATATTTATTACTTTTAAAAATTCAAACCTGCCCTCACATGACTGTACTTTATCCAAAAGTTGGCATTGTAAAACTGCTTTTGTATTACTGAACTTTTATTTCAAATGTGAAACTGTCTGAAAGTTAAGATGAAGAAAGAACAGATTTAAAATTGCAGCTAATGTGATTCTAATTTCTCAGAAGAGCTTTTAAAATGTCAGTTTAAAAAACAAAGTTTGAGTAAAGCATTTAAAAGTAAAATCACAGGATTTTTAGAGGTCTGTCAACTGAGTTATTGTACTCTACAGATCAACAATGGATACTACAAATAATCTCTATTCAAGAAGTAATTCAATATAAATAATTCAATAACAATAACCACACTGGTCCAAATACAGAACATACTAGTCCCATCCTATCCCTAAAATCTGTTTTGTAAAAACCCTGATTCAAGTATTATTTTTCATTACATATGCCCCACCCACCACCAATTTTTTTTTAAACTTTAAGTAGCTGTCCTTCCTCAGGGAATGGACTAAATCTGGACCAATATAGTAATATTTAAGAGTTATAGAAGTGCTTAAGATCCTTCAATAACTATTTAATAATGTAGCATTTTTCTTTAAGCAGAACATAAATCTCAAATATATGAAAAATATTTTATCATGTGAAAATTACCGTTAACATTAGAAAGATGAAGGCTGATATTCCTAAAACAAGGATTTCTTTATTTCCTTTGCTCTCCACATGCAGCTTTCGATAATATGGGCCTATAAGATAAGTCTTTATAACAAGACATATGAGAAAAACAGTAACCAGAGAAACGAGGATCTGACCAATCAGAATGAATATTCTCAGTATTTCCAGGAAAACGCTGGAGGGAAACAAAAATTAAAAAAAAGTTATTCTACCTATAAACTCTGTTTCTCCCATTTCTATTGACATTAGCTTCTAATTTTTTTCTTTTAATATGTTGCTTCAAATGAATTACCAGATTAACATATGTATTTTGAAATTCTGAAATGAAATTCACAAAATCACATAGAAGTCTGTCCCAAAGTCTTAACTTTACATTTTATATTGTAATTTGAATCATATATAGGATATAAAATTCATAACAAACTACACATTGTTAGGACCAAAATCCTGTGTTGAAAAGATTTTGAAATACAAGCCCTATTACCTGCTTTTTTTGAGCAATATTTGATGCAGCAAAATGCCTATTCAACAAAGGAATAAATATACTTTCAAAGTCCTTGTACACATACCAAAGTTTGACTTACATCTCAGAGTTACACAATTAAAGGAATCATAGCAACAAAGCAGCTAACTGAACTTCTAATAGCATATTCTTTTATCCTTTTTTTTAAACCAGAACTCTGTTATTCACCAGAGATTTTAACATAATTATTAATCCAAACACACTGAGAATATTGTTTTACTTTTTCTAATCTCCAAAAGGGTACAAAAGTTTATAAGCAGTTTTTACTACTATACCAAGAATCTAAGAAAAGTACATTTTATTTTTAGTAATTATAGTTAAAAAGCTTTTATTATCTTGCATAGATTGAGCGAAGGAACACTTAGCCCCCAGGTCTGGCTAAAGAATTATAATGATCAATGGACTAAATATACCACATCATATTTCATCAGGGATAATATGATAGTAATTATTTGAACAATCAGGCTTAAAGCAGCAGTGCTGAAAATGCAAATAGCTAGGGGTAGTAGTACAGGAGATCAGAGTCTACCCTGAGGTGGGGACCATATGATGTGAAAAGCAAGAATGGAACCAAGTATGGATAACAGAGAGAAGTCAACGGGAGGAAAGCAAATGAACAAATACTAGAAATTTTAATCTATTTATCTGACATCTCCCAAGAACTTCTAAATGCTGTTAGCTTTTTATCTATAGCAGAGTTTAAATATGATTCAGTCTCTAGGTTCATTATACTAGCAACCGTGGTACAGATGTCCAGTTTAAATATCTATCTTCGTCTCTATATTCACAATTCTTCTAACTAGTAAAGTCACACCTTATTTAAACTTCACCTTCAAAACTACTCGAACCCCAGTAAACCCTACACTCCAAAGTAGAAAATCTGGAATTATTTAAGTCCAAAGATCTATGGTAAAAGCTGGCTATATGAAACTTAAATGCATTTGCCCCATAAATTTCTAAATTAAACTTCATACTATTTTTTAAAAAAATAATTTATTTATTGCCAACTTTATCTGTTTTCTGCTTATGAATTTTTTGGGAACGATTTATTTTATTCTACAGGTTTAATCTGATTATTTTTGAAATCAACAGAAACAACGATTAGTTTATATCACTACACGGTCTCCTTCAATGTATTGACTTTACTATTGATAAGTCTGGTTATTAGACTGAAGATCTGTGGTGAGTCAAATGCTGAATTTCTAAGAAACAAAAAAAGCATAATTCAGAAGTCAACAAACACAACTATTCAAACTTGAAAAAGGCAGTTTTATCTCAACCTATGGGTTAACCATAGGTTCAAAAACTTTAGTTACCCATACTATGACTCCTCAAGTTTTTGGCTGCTCCCTTCTTTTTCAGAACTGCCCCTTAAGTCAAGAGTCCCGTGCTATAATAGGGAAAGCACAGGACTGAAGGCTGGGGAGACCCAGGTTTAAGCTATGTTACTTGGTGCTTTTGTGGAATTCAGATTTTCAATCTGTAAAACCAGGGGTTGGATTTCTCAGCTCCCTTTCATCTCTAAAAGGTTAAGATTCATAACTCCTAATCAAACTTCACTTCTGAAATTCCTGTCATATCTCACGTATTTCTAAAATTCTCTGCTGTCTATTTGTATGAAATTTATTAAAGTTTTTTCCCACAAATTTATTCTGTTTAAAGTCAGAAATCTTTAATATTCATGAATTATTACATCTCTTTCAAAGTGTATTGACACTGAAGTTGAATTTTAATGGTCTAAGTACCTAGTACTAGACTGAAATTTTGCACTGGCAGAATTAGAAATACCAGTTCCTACAAGTGGCTGGTAAAACGCCACATAACAAAAGCTTTTTTTGGATTTAGGATTATGAAAAGAAAAAAATAACCAAAAGAATATTTGGGTTCTTCCACAAGTCTTAATGGAAGGTGAGTTACCTCCTAGCTCATAAAGAAAGAACCATCTCTACTCTCTTCCCCTGTAACTTCTGGACAAGTCACTTCACTAATTTAAACCTTAGTTTCCTCATCTGTAAAATTAGGGGGTTGGACTAAATGATCTCTGAGGCACCTTCCAGCTCTAAATTTATGATTCCAAATGTGGTCTTGCAAGTCAAGTGACAAATCAGAGCATATTCAGGATACCTCAAAACCTGGAGTACATATACAAACGATTCTGCATTTTTACAAACTAAAATACATATTTTAGCCAAATTTTCATTAGCAAGTTTATATTTTAAATGTGTATATACACAGACACATGTACTGAGAGAGAGAGCGAGAGAGAGAGAGAGAGAGCACACAAGCACATAGTGTCTGGCATATATGAGGCACTTAAATTTTTTTTTTAATAACATATCTACAATGGACCTCTGTGAACTCTTCTTTGAGACCAGGATGGCTAGGATACTTGACCTTGAAAATAAAGTCAACACAAGTTCTTAATTCTCTTGATCAAAGTTAAAGAGAATCTAAACAAAAACTTACATTCTCCTTTTTCATGTTAAACTGTACAAATTAATTACAAAATTAAACTGTATAAAAATATATTAATATGTCAAGAATATGCAAGTTCATCAATGTAGACATGCCTCCACTAACAAAAGATTATAATCCCTTGGTAACTCAGTATCCCACAGCTTTCAAAGAAAAAAAATGAATCCTCCTCAGTGGCCAATCTGATAAAGAACCTCTCCGAATTTAGCCTGCCTGGTCCTCAGGTAACAGAGAAACAGCTACTCTCTAGGCTCAGCATTACCAGCCTGATAGACTCTGCTAGAGATTACATCCTACTAGGAAAACCTTTGGGAACCTCAGGTCACCTACTGGTCATGATGACGCACTGCAATAGGACTTTAATGTGGGTCTACAAAAAATAAAAAGGCAGGCTGAAAGTGGGCCCACTATTTTCATAAAACAAAATTTATTAGTCAATATATTCCTGAGAGGAATATATGCAAAGGATGTTACTAGCTTCCTATAGTGTAAATATAATTTTTAAGCTGGAAAATTCAAAAGAGTATGAGGAATTTTGACTTACATTATGTAGGGCTCAAATGCTTGTTTTTTTCAGTCAGGTTTGGAGAACTATTTTATGTTCCCTGGTTATTAGTCAAGCTTAAGTTACTTCCTATAAAACGATGTTGCAGAACTTAAATAAATTAGCAGTGAGCCTTTCAAAACAATTATAACAGACTTATTTGAGTGATATTACCACAGTTGAAAACTCCTGGACAACTCTTTATTTTGAACTGTATTAAGAGCTTGTTATTATCTTTTGAATGTAAGTTAGTCAACAAACAGTCAGTGCTTGCTATGTGCCAAGTCCTGTGCTAAGTGCTGGGAATACAAGGAAAGGCAAAAAACAATTCCTATCCTCAAAGGAGAATACATACAATATCTATACATATAAGATATGTAATGGGGTAGGTGAAGGTAATTCTGAAAGGAGAAGTCGTCTCTTTGTAGAAAATATTTCTCTTTTGAGGGTGTCTTTACTTTTTGGAAACAGCCAAAGATTATTCAGAAACAAGTTTAGTGAATACACTGGATGATTCATCAGTGATAATATCATTTTAGGTCCGAGCAGGAAGCTATCAAGTAACAAAATTGATTCTTATAAAATAACTGAAAGTAATTCCAAAGCACCAAAAAGATTTTAAGCATCAGTTTCTGCTCACTCAGTAAACAATAAATGTATATTACGTACCTAACTTGTTTTTGCAGCATTACCTAAGATGGAGGCACCTGCATAGGAGGCGGCAGGGACCTGCTTCTGGTAAAAGACACATAGTGGGAGCTGGAATGGGTGACATCTTTAGAACTACCAGGCTTAGACAGTCCTGATCTGTTTTCAATGGCACCTCGGGATGAAGGAAGGTCTTGCTCCCCTGTAACATGGGCACTATGTACTAAGCTGGGTGTGGCCACTACTTGTGGCTCTGAGAACTGGCCTTGAGGCTTTGGTCTGTTTCAGTTGTCCCTTGCAGATCAAGGCACAGGCAGTAGAGACCCTGAACCTGGAAGCTCAAGCTATGACGAACTTGGAGCCAAGACTGCAGGCTAGATGTTGCTGCAAGCCTGGCAGGGATGCCCTGAGAAGTCAGGTTGCCCAGACACAAACCCTGGGAGGCTTTGGACTTGGAACCTGGTGGAGCTATCCTACACAGAAATTGCATTAAGCTGTGATCCTAATCTCCTCCCCAGAGATTAAAGTGGTATAAGGTGAGGGGGTAATTATGCCCCCCAGATGGTGGGAGTGGGTATTTACACATTTGTTCTTGGAATAGTTTTGAAGTAAATATTCTTTGGTAACAGTTAATATGACTGTTAAGTGGTTAAGCAGAACTAGGGTGCTGGGGGCCCCTAAACTTGGGAAGAACAATCATAGAGAGAGACACTGCCTAACTTCCTTATCTGAGAACCCTGGGGGAAAAGGTGAAATGTAACATATCTGGCTATCAGGCAGTATAGGCCAGAGTAGTTAAACAATCTCAAGTGAGCTCTCACTGAGGCAAGGCAATCCTTTTATATCTCCCTAATCAATTCACTGTCCCACCCTCACATAGCAGCTTTTGCAAACCATCCATCTTCAAATCTACCATGGCTCCCTCACCCCTACTCTCTCAGTGAGAACCTTGCCTCACATTGCACTAAAAAATCTCAGGCCATTTGCCAAGAGCTCCCTCTTTCCTTCCTCCTCATCTCACATCATTTAAATATCTTCCCCCACTATTTCCTCCTTCACTTATGCCAAGGCAAACCCATGTATATGAAGAAGTGATCCCATCCCATCTCCTCCAGCTCGTATCCCCACTCTTATTTATCCTTAAACTCTCCTCTTCTGCTGGCTGCTTCCCTGCTGCCTACAAATATGCCTAAGTCTCAAATCCTTAAAAAACCTTCCTGTCATACGCTCATTCCCAGGAGCTATCATGCTCCATCTTTCCTCCCTTTTGTGGCTAAACTCCTTGAGAAGGCTGTCTTCAATCAAGGCCTCCACTTCTTTTCCTCTCACTTTCTCCTTAGTGCTCTGCAATCTGGCTTTCTCCTTTGTTGTTCAACTGAAATGGCTCTCTCCAAAATTACCAGTGATCTCTTTAATTACCAAATCTAATGGCTTTTTCTCAGTCCTTTCCTTTTTGACTTCTCTGTAGCCCTTCACAAGTCAATGACCCGCTTCTCCTTGATACTCTCTTGTCTCTAGGCTTTCAAGACATTGCTTTCTCCTGGTTTTCCCCTATCTGCCTGACCACTCCTCCTCAGCCTCCTTTGCTGAATCTTCATTTACATCATAACTAGTGGGTGTCCCCCAAGGCTGTCATGGACCCTATTCTCTTCTCCCTCTATATTACTGTACTTGGTGATCTCATAAGCTTCCATGGATTCAATTTTCATCTCCATTTTCAATTTTTTCATCTTTCATCTAGATGGTTCTCAGATCTATTTGTCCAGCTTTAAATTCTCTCCTGACCTCTAGTCTCACTGACTAGCAGACATGTCAAATTGAATGCCCATCTCACACTCAACATGAGTAAAACTGAGCTCATTATCTTCTCCCCCTTACCCTGTCCTGAGGGACAAGCCTTCCCACTTCCTAACTTCTCTATGACTGTAGAGGGTATGCTCACCCAGTTTCACAACCTAGGTATCATCTTTGACTCCATGCTCTCTCTCACCCTTTATATAACAATCTGTTGCCAAGTCCTATTTATTTAACCTTTACAACATCTTTTGTATATACCCTTTTCTCTCGACACTGCCACCACCCTGGTACAGTGCCTCATGGCATGCCTGGGTTACTGAAATAATCTGCTGGTTAGTCTCCCTGCTTGAAGTCTCTCCTCACTCCAGCCCATCTTCCATTCAGCTAAAAAAATGATCTTTCTAAAGGTCATGTCTGACCATGTTACCCCTCTTCTCAACAAACACTCTAGAGCAGGGCTGGGGAACCTGTGGCCTCAAGGCCACATGTAGCCCTCTAGGTCCTCAAGTGTGGCCCTGTAACTGAATCCAAACTTCACACGTAATGGTTCCCCAACCCTGCTCTAATGGCTCCTTATCACCTCTAAGATCAAACAGAACATCACCTGTTTAGATTTAAAGCCCTTCATAAACTGGCTCTCTCCACCTTTCCAGTCATTTTATATCTCACTCCCCTCTAGGTACTCTGAAATCCAGCAACCCTAGCCTCCTTGCTGTTCCCCAAACAAGACACTTCAACTCTTGATTCTGGGCCTTTTCACTCGCTATCATCCATGCCTAGAATTCTCTTTCTCCTCACCTCTTATCTTCTGACTCCACTGGCTTCCTTCAAATCCCAGCTAAAGTTTTATCTTCTGCAAGAAGCCTTTCCTGGTCCTCCTCAATCTTAGGGCTTCTCTTCTGAGACTATCTTCAATTTATCATGTAAATATCTTGTTTGTACATAGCGGTTTGCATGTCGTCTAGCCTCTGAAATTATGAGCTCCATGAGAGCAGGTCTATCTGTCTGTCTGTCTCTCTCAATTCCCAGCACTTAGTACAGTGCCTGACACAGAGTAGGTATTTAATAAAGGATTCCTGATTTGACTATTGTGAAGAACAACCTTTTTTGAATGTATAAATTTCTTGTATGTTTATTTTTAGGAAATCAGTTCTATTTTGTTATAGTCACACTTCCAGTGGCAGTGGGACATCATGGATAAGGGGGCTAGCTGCCCACCCTCGGCATTAAAGTACTGCCCTAGCATGTATTGGCTGCGTGATCATAAGCTTGCCACTTAAACTTCCAGGGCACCAGACAGATCTCTAAGACTATAAATTACAGATAAGTTACCAACTACAGTTTCCCACATTAACGAAATTAGAGGCTTCAATCCTGTCCCCTCCTTTCCTCCCACCCTGACAAAAGAAGTTGCACCACATAACTAACATTTTAAACTGACAGTGCTGCCTGAATCATTAAATTTGTATTTAATCACTTATATTACTGTTAAAACATTAATACTCGTAAGTTTTAAAACAACAGTAAGACTCTTTAAAGGTAGTAAGAATATCTGTGATTTAATCAGTAGTCTGTTGTAGAGAACTCTCAGATTAGATAAATACTAGGGAGTTGCTTAGGGCCCAAAGTCACCAGCTCAGGATTGCCAAAACCATTAAGACTAGGTGTGAATACAAGTTCAAGCTCATCAATGTACCAAACGTCATGCTTCCCTTTTAAAAGGCCCCACTATAGCAAAATCTGCTTCCTTTTGTCATCTGGCTTTTCATTTTTCACACCTTCTACGTGAATTCTTTTTTCCCCCTTCTACATGAATTCTAACCAACCCCCCCCCCAAAAGAAATTCTACCTTAAAGTTTGAGGACTTATTTTTATTGAGACAGAGAATGATGGAGTTGTAAAAATCATAAGCTAAAATAAAGAGGAGATACAGACAGCTATACCCTGATAATATTTTCATTTTCAGAAATATTTCATGAATAACCAATCTGAAAATAATATAAGAGGAAGCATAATAAAATTTAACCTGGAATATGTATTAGCTCCTGCTTGTATAAGAGTTGGCATAATAGCTATGAATAATCCAAGCTGTACATCTTGCGTTACCAGCATGCCAAGAAGCACACTGCTGTAGTCAATATCACCTGTTTGAGAATAAAGAATGGTATTTAAAATACGGGTTTAAAACAGCATAAAATATCTTACACATCTAAATACTGTCATGCTGACTTGGTCTGAAAATTTAGACTAGTCACTAAAAGGGTTTTTTTTTTGCCATATAAAAACAATGCAGATTTTAAAATTTTTTTCAAGGTAAAATAATAAATATATTTCAAAGAAGATTTTAATAAGGGCTCTTAGAATAAAGATGCTTACATCATTTATATGCCTACAACATTACCTTTCCATAAATTACGTAATACTGCTGAGGATAGTTCTGCATTTGAATTGATGACAAATTTCTTTCAGTGCCAGAAAGGTGGATAAGAAGCTTTCTTTCTTAATCCATATTTTGTTCTTCAAGCTAGTCAAAATGGCCTGACCTACATCTCTACTCCCAACTCAATCTAAACCTCTGATCAGGTTCTAAGTCTTCTTGCCAACCATAGCAATTTCCCCATTACAAAGCTGTCACTGCTTGCACAATTAACATGAAGCAAAAATAAAGTGTGTGGAAGAGAAAGTAGATTTGAAGGTGAATGGTTCAGAAATAACAGTGCAATGCTAGTAAAAGAACAACTAAGGGAAAGAAGAGAGGAAAATTTTTTTTTAAACTAAGCATTTTATATTTGCTAAGTACTTTTAAAAAAGAATCATGAACTGGCTGCATTTTGAAAAGGACCATTCTGGTTTTGATATCTATTTTTTATTACACTGTGTAACCAAAATTATCCTGGTTTACAAATATAAGCAATGACTCTGCTCTGAGTCACTTCTGGAGCACCTAAATCAGGGGCCCTGAATTCACAAGCAGTAGTTTCTGTTTCATACACTTAAGTTTTATAAACTCAATAATTTGCAAAATATTGACAGTAGTACCCAATATTCAACCAAAGAATCTAACAGCCTTACTTGAAACCATTAGTTAATCAAACACATCATCTCAATATACTTCCAAAAATATATCTGAATAGCAGTGATTTTTTTTTTGGAAAAAAAAGTTTTTAAGGAAAATTTTAATGCATAATTTACAAGAGATTATGTATATATGAGACTACATTCCTAAAACAAGTCCTGCCATCTGTACCAAAATTTAACCACTATTTTTTTTACTCCTGGTATACTACCAGCTACAAAATCTCATTTTAGGTTTAGTTCTTCACACTGACCTTGATTAAAAGAAAAGATAACAGATTCAGAGGTGGAAGGTGATTTAAGAGTCATTTAGTTCACCCATTTGATATAAGAGAAAGCCAAAGAAAAAAAAGTAGGATATAGAGGTTGTTAAGTGGCAAAACTCATATTCAAACCCAGGTCTCTGACTCTAAATTGAGCACCTCCCCGCCCTCAGTTGTACTGTTTCTGTCCTGCTTCGTTACTGGTTCCCTTGGATGGTGGTGGTGGAGGGCCAGGGCTATAAGCAAGTTTGGCTGTAAGCAAAGATGGAATTCTGCGCATGCACATGCACACACACACACCCCATCAGATAAAATGGAGGCAAATCAGCAGCAACATGCATCCAGCCTAACTCATCTCAGATGTATCTAGCCAAGCCTTTGAAAAAGTGATTCACCATAGCAGGGTTATTACATGTTAAGTCTGGTAATCCTTCTAAGAGATTTTACAGGACTTAGAGTGCAAAATTAAAATCCAAGGGACTGTTAACACCCTAGTTAAAATTTGGGTACATTTTATATGTTTGATACTGTCATAGTTTTCTATATCCTTGGTATATGCTCTTAAATATCATCATAACAAAAATTCACCAACTATATCCTGGAAATAGTTTTTGGAAATGCTTTAGGCCACACAGCATTTTTATCAGTTCTTACACCACTTTTTAATTTCATTTATTTAATGAGTATTAAGCAACAACTGTAGCAGTACCAGTATCATAAATCATATTTGCATTGCATACTCATTTTTTTAACTTCATTTCTTTCAGGACTACAAACTGTCCAAATTTATGGGGCTGCATTTTTTAAAGTCAGCAGTAGATCAGAATTAGATGAATTTATAGGAGCTTAATTCTATTTGTAATACTACCAAAAAGTTTGTTAGTGAAGACCTAAGACGAACACAACAGTCTTAATGCTTTTATCTCTTGACTTAATCATTAATTTATAAAATAAATTCACTCTATATGTAATTGAAGAAATTCATGTAACAGTATATCACCTACCTTCTTTATCACTCCGGGCACTACCAACAAGGAACCTGGACACCAAGGGTGTGCTTGATAAGGATAAACAAGTAGAAATAAAAACACTTTGTGTTGGTCTGATTTGTAAAAAGTGTCCCCACAATAAGCCAAATGAAATCATTAGGAATGTCATATAGCATGAGCCTTGCAAGGAGATCTTCCATACCTTAAAGAGAACAAATTTATTTAAATATTTTAATAACTTAATAGGCTATCTCCTTTCCAAAGCCTAAAATGCTGCACACACAAATAAAACTGGATTATACATTTAAACTATGTACTGAACATACCAGCAAAATTTCCACGGCTAGCAACAAACAATTGAACACGTGCCTACTATGACCAGAGGCAGTATGGTGAAGTTTAAAAAAGCAATGAATTTGCAAACGAGGAGACTTGAGTCCAAGCCCTAATTTTGCTACATACTGGTTGAGTCAACCTTCATGAGCTATTTGAACTCTTAGCCTCCGGTTTGTCATCTCTAAAATGGGGACCCTGTTCTACCTTGTAGGGTTGTTTTGTGTATCAAGTGAAATAATGAGTGTTACAGTACTTTGCAAAGCTTAAAGTGCTAAACAAGAATAAAGTGATATCAGCACTGTCCTGAGCACTCTAGGAAATAGAAAAGACTTCAACAAACATTTATTAAGGGCCTCCTACAAAGCAGTGTTCTAGGTTCTTGGAGATACAAAGATAAACAATGTCTCTGTCCCTGCCTTTAAATAACACATTCTGCTAAAGGTAGATAAGAATATAGTTTCTGTCCGCAAGGAGCACTAGTCCAGTTGGGAAGACAAAACTATAGATACTCTCCCTTTCAATTATACTCACAGAGATGTTTTGATGAAACTGTGATCTCATCAAAGTGGATACTCCCTCCAATAATGCAGACAGTAACCCATTCATAGCCACCCAGCCTGTGATAGTACCCATGCAACCATCAATCACTTATGGGCAGAGGCCTTCTTTTGGTTCTCCCGATATTATGTGGACAGAGCACACAGGCTGCCCCTCAGTGAGTTCGTGCTTCTACTACTTAACTGGTCCACAGTTATTTCACAGGCGTATACTTCCCCTTCATGTTGCTTCTGGGCAATTTTTCATTTGTAGTGTGTTATAGCTTGTTCATACTGACCATTTACATAAATATGAACAGATCATGTAATATATAATGTATTTAACATAATTATGCACATAATATATTTCATACAGTAAAAGAGATACATGAGGGGTAGTGCTGTGCCCTGGATAAAGAGCAAGACTTAGAGTCTGGAAGACCAGAGTTCAAGTTCTGCTTCTGACAGATATTGGCTGTGCCGCACTGGACAAGTCCCTGCACCTCTCAGTGCTCCAGGTAGCTAAGACACTAAGTTGCAGAGAGGGGACTTCCAATTTTTCCATGATGTACAGCCATGTCATGTCCCTAACATTACTATTCTCTGTCATGTTATATGATTACACATCATGGGGCACTAGAACAGACATAATCAGGCAGTAGCACTTTACCAATGAAAACCTGCATGTGCAGTGGGGCACAGTCCAACCTCAGACATGCACTGGCTGTACGATGATAGGTTACCTCTTAGCACCCCTACATAACTCTCTTAAGATAAGTTGCAGAGCAAATGACAAGGTACATTGATAAAAGTTTCTTTTGGAAATCCTTTATACTAATGAATCATGGATCTGGTAAAAAAAAAATCTTCACACAATAAGTGCTGTAGAAGTCATGAATCAAGTTACATACAAACAAAGAGGCACTATATTAAGCAGTTATCAAGAATTTGAGACAAATAATAGATCCAAGTGTTATATTGATAACTCCAAAATATCAAAATAAGACCTCTAGAGCATCAAGTAGACTTGCCAGACTGAACTTACGGAAACTGTGAATAAAAATCACAGACAGGTAGGATCTGTACTGATGACAAACATATGTGATTTCACTGGAACAGAGGTGGCCAAGAGTAATTGCATCTTTTCACTTAAATACCCACCTAAGAAATCATGGACTCAACAAATTCCAAAATAACAGTTTTATATCAATTCTATAAATGAACATGATGAGCTGAAAAACTATTTCTTTTTTACTTTTAAAGGCTATTTTTAAATTCAAAGTTCACAGCACATTTTAAAGGGTTGCTCAAAATTGTACTTTTGTTTTGATTAGCGAAACGGAAGAAACGTTTGCTATGCCCATGATCCTGGCAAATATACAACGTAGTATATAAATCTTAGGCCCCACCCACAAGAGACTTATAATCTAGTACACTAGATATGCAACAAGTAAAATATCAAATAAGAAAGTGTATTTAAATAATAATATGAACCTACCCCATAACAGATGTGATATATTTGCCAAATGAGTGATACTAATAGTTAGGAAAGATACTGATAACAGGGAAACAGCATGGTACAGTGAGAAGACTTGGTTCAAGTCCTGCCTCACACTTATTACCTCTGTGATCTCCTGGCAAATTATTTAACTTTGCTTGGCCTCAGTTTCCTTATGCATAAAATAAGAGGTTTGGATGATATTGCCTCTGTAGTACCTTCTAGCTCTAAATCTGCGATCCTAACTGTTAGAGAAGCTCAAAGAAGATATTATTTCAGAATAGAGGAATCTTTTTTCAAAAAAGAAAAATTTTTAATTATTTAAATTATTAAAACAATTTTTTTAAAGATAATTTTTCTCTTTTCTAATTTAAAAGTAGACTGTAAGAAAGTACCTTGTCTAATTATTAAATATTACATTTCACTAAGACTAAGAGATTCCCAAAACACTGAATGGCCACAAGGTGGCAGTAAGTACTTTTGTGGCAATATGGGAACTGGTTCAGTTGAGGGTATAAAACAACATGTAAAATGATATGAAATGAATGAGAAACTTTTAAAGCTGAAAGGGGCAGAATTTATTTAGTCTAATTTCTCATTTTATATATGAAGCCCAGCAGAGAGGTTAAGGATGCATAATTAGTTCAATTCAACAAGTACATATTAAAGGCCTCTCGTGTTTGTCATAATCGGGTATCCCGACTTTTTGCCTAGTGTTTTTGACTAACCATGAGTGAGCAGATGTGGTATCTTTCATTAAGTAGATATGGCTGTGAGATTACTCAAAATGAAAAAAAAAAATAAAACATGGGAAAAGTATAGATGATAAGAACATACAGAAAAACTGAATATGTAGTATTGATTCTGGGTACTTTCAAGACTTGAAAGCAGCAGTTTTTAATTTTTTAAAGTTCATGTTACTTTAATGAAACCAAAGATCCCCAAGACCATCTCATTAAAACTGTTTCCCTGAATAACGTAAGTAGAATAGTTCTATTTTTGCTCAGATGAATGAAATGGTATAAGCATAGGGGGTTAATTTAATTCCACAAGTATTCACAAAGTTCCTATTATGTGCAAAAGCTGTGTGTTAGGCACTAGGCATACAAGCATTTTTGTAAAATGACCCTTTTCCTGATCACAAGGTACTCACAAAAGAGATAAACAGTTAAATACTTAGATGAATCTGTGCTCTCACTCCACTAACTAGTAAAAGATCACATCACTTCAAAACTCCTCTGTATAATTCACATCCATATTTTCCATTAATCCTCTATAGAGGCTACATCCAAAAAGCTAAAAAACTCCGTTGAAAAATATCAAAGATAAATCTTGCTACAAGATAAACTCTACTTCTTTTTCAAGTTTTACATATCTTTGGTAAATTATTTTATTCCTTTTCTCATGCACAAACCATTTTTGGTAATAAACCATAATCTACTTCCACCTATCATATATCTAACATTACTTTCTGGGTTACTGTTTTACTTTTATTCTTGTAATGAATTCTGGAAACAAATAAAAGGGTATGGTCACATTATAAACACTTAATATTACCAAAGCCCCTAGAAGACCTTCGCAAAACTCATTTTGAAATTCACTATTTTAAAGTGATTCTGAATAGGCTTTACAAGATAAGTAAACAGGAGGTGGAGCCAAGACATCAGAGTAGCAGGAAGAAGTACAGTGAATCTCACTCTTTCCCAAATGACCCCTGAAAAAAATTCAGAAAATATACCAGACTAAATCCTTATCAGGAAATCCAAGAAAATTTGCAGACCAGACTGGAAAAAGAGACAAATAGAGAGGTCTGCAGACAGAGGGAATGACAAAGTCTAGCCAGAAGGGCACTTTGTAGAGCACTCCAGCACAGAGAGAGGTTGTTCACCAGGGCAGAGAAGGTCCCAGATCCAGCACAGAGGAGCTTTAATTTGTGCACAGGTGCCTGCACAGCAGGAGCCAAGTGGCAGTTAAGAGTCACAGATCCATCGTAGACTAAGGAGGAAGCCTGGGCGTAAGAGTGGTATTCCAAAGTGACAAGCAACTACAGGCCTTAGGTTACATACTGAGCAAGAAGCAAGCAAAAGCTGTGTGACTTGTACCCTAGGAACATAATGGGGTCTCAATCCCAACTTCTAGCCCAGTCTGAAGTCTGCGGCAGAAAAACCAGGATAGGAATTTCAGACCAAAGGGTAAGCTTGCAGTTCTGTCCCTCCAAACTGGTTAATAATGGCTCACTACAGTGGCGATCCACTCAAACACCAAATGGGGCAAGCCCATAGGCCTGTTGCTCAATCCAAAACCCATGTCAGAAACTTGCAGAGCTCAGATCAAAGAGACAGAAATCAGGCTTTGCCCTAAGCAATCTACTTTAGGAGTGCTGATTACTCACAGGTCCCCTGCTGGAGTTCTCCTGGAAATAATCTGGAAACAACATAACACTTAACATCCCCAAGAAAGCAACAACAGGACTAGCCCAGACATTCCTGCTAGAAGTGGGCAGAGACTGAACTCTAACAAAGTCTGAAGTCAGAAAGAAGGAAGAAAACAAATGAGCAAAGCAACAACAACAAAAAAGAATGCAATCATAAAAAGCTATTATGGTGACAGGGATACTCAAGACACAACCCCCCCCCAAAAGAGAATGATTCCAAAATATTTACAAGCAAAGCCTCAAAGGAAAACACAGCTTGGGCGAAAATTCAACTAGAATTCTTGGAAGAGCTGAAGCAAGAATTTTTTTAAAAAAGAGTTAAATATGTTCTTATAAGTGGACACTGGATTGTTATTTCCTCTCAATGTTAAGAGCTGCTATTGCTACTTAATATGATCTTTTGTTTAAAGTAACTCAGACCACTTGATTATGTAGTTCAAAGCATATCACAGCTCTAAGGTGAACAAGTTTTAAATAGTAAAGAGGGTAAATGGTCCCAAAACACTATACTAAGGTATTTCAGATACACAATAAGATTTGGAGAGCAAATTCTCACATACCTTTCTCAACTTTTCTGGAGAAAACTCCAAGCCAACAAGAAACAGAGTAAAGAACACACCAAATTCTCCTAATGTCTCCACTTGTACAATAGACTGCAAGACAAAGACATAAAAATGATACATAAATTAAAATATAACAAGCATATTAATATAAATGTAAGCATAGATATAAATAAGTCTAATTAATATATTAATTATATTAATTACATATAATTATATTAAGATGCAATAATTAAATATAAATTACATATAACTATGTTAATATAATAAACCTATATTTAAAAGTTTGTTACTGGTTAATTTAATGAGCCTGTCCTAATACTCTGATAAATATAAGCGAGGTGAAGTTCCCATTGAAAGCAAAAGTCTCTTTCTACGGGTAGCTACACAGTGCAGTGACAGAGCACCAGCCCTGGAGTCAGGAGGACCCCAGTTCAAACCCAAGTTCAAATCTGGCCTCAGACATTTGGCACTTACTGGTGGTGGGACCCTGGGTAAGTAACTTAACCCCTATTGCCTCACCAAAAAGGGAGAAAAAAAAAAGCAAAAGTCTTCATTATTTGATATAACCTTTTCAGGAACTAAATTATCTAACTAACTAAAATATAAATTATATTTTACTCCAATAGTCACATACTTTACTTCCAAATGTATTTTATCAAACATTAGAAATGACCTAAGCGTTTGTGAACACATAGAACATAAAATAGTTTTAAAAATACCTTATTTCTAAAAAGAAAATTCTTAAATTCAAAAGCACTTTTGAAATTGCTTAGAAATATAAAAGTAATGTTTTATTACCTTTTTTTTTTTAACAAATTCATGAATGTAATCCAAATCAATCTAACATACTGACATCATGAGGATTTTTATAAAGGAATCCTGCAGAAGATTTAAGTATTACTGTACAAGGAACTGATAAATTTTCCCTGTTTTCTCTTAACCAAGTGACACCAAAATATAACTAGAACATTAGGTGTGCTTTTGACCAGTCAGATAAAGAAGGAATTATCAAGATTAATCTCTCTTCTACATGACAGGCCTTCAAAAATTTAAAGGCAGCTACCAATTCCCTTCCCCCTTTGAAATACTCACACTATTTTTAATTGCTATCATAACAAGGTTTCAATTTAAGAACTAAACTCTCTCTCACGAAGGACTTTCCCAAAAAGAGTTAAGAAAAACCATCTAATAGATTAACTGTGACTGATAATACACAATACTTTTCACTTTTACAATAATTTCTAACAGAAAGGAAGGATATATACTTTAATAATTTGATATTAACATCATTTATGATTTCTGGCCACAGGTTTTTGCCTATTAACATACTTTTTATTCATATAGTTATAATCATGTACATTTTGCCTTCACTCTGAACAACTTCATAGAAATCTTATATTCTCTTAATTCTTCATTTCCATACTCTTATGTAGCAGCAACATGACACTGCATTTATATCAGTTTGTTCATCCATTCCAGAATCACTGGACACTAATTTTGTTTTCAGCCTTTTATTGTCATACATACCATTATTGTTACAAATATTCTGGAAAGAACTGAGCTGAGACTACACTAGAATATTAACTCAAAACTGTATTTTAACTTGGAATGACCATGTCTTTTTTCAAGATTAATATGTTATCCAAAATTGTCTTCAGACAGAGACATGTTGGAAGGCACTGGTGAACTATGACAGTCTGGACATATCTTGCTCTCTAAGCCAGAAATGGCTTGGGTATTTAAATAATGTTAAATTAAGTTAAAGTAGTACATTTATATAGTGCTTCAAGGATTGCAAAGCACTTTACATGTGTTATCTCATTTGATCTCCACAACAACCCTATGACAACTGTACTATTATTTTGCCCATTAGTTAAGAAAACCAAGGCTAAAAGAAGTTGAAGTGACTTGCCCAGGCTAACACTGCTACATATAGATTAAGTGTCTAAGATCGGGTTCAAACTCAGGCTTCCTGACACATTTCCTGGCAGACTTCCTAAAATAAGAGTATTGTATTAATATTTTTCTTCTGATAGTTAAATGTTGCTATGCCTGATAGAAAGCCAGCATGGGCCTAAGACTACTTCTCTTCAAAAGACTTCCACACCCAAATAATCAGAGGTGGGAGGACTTTTAAACTGTTATAAGAACTTACTCAAAGCAGAAATGCTGTATTGATGATTTCTAAGTTCACAAAATCTGACTGACTGAAAGACCAACTCTATCAGTGAATATGCATTGTGCACATTGTTCGTGTCTGTTCCTGTCTCTGTCTGTAGTCACCTCGTACAGTATATTACATATGGTAAGCCTTAAACCCTAGTCCTTTAATGGTAAAGCCACCTACCAGGTCAGAACTAAGCCAAATTTCAGATCCACTAGGTCAACAGGGGAAAGGACTCAACATCTCTGATAGCAAAGGAGACTGTCCTTAAGCCTGTGGGACTGGTAACAAAGGATGCTTTCCCTCCCCTTTTCTTAGTGTCAGGTAGCAAATAGTCTAGGACCAGCGGCCCAGTTTGTGATCAGGAAGTTAATTGTTCCCACTCCTCTGGGAATTCTATAATCCCATGGCTCACTATCCAGGAACTTCCAACCTGCCAAAATTGATTAGTTTGATATTTTCTTCATTGTTTGGTGTATTGTTTTAGTGTCTCTCAATCTGTTCTGTGTTTAGATTTTTAAAAAAACCCAAGGTCTGATTTTAAAATTAGTAGTTCCTCCACAGTAAAGAAATAGATGACCACAAGACCACAAAATTCTTCTCCCATCCCACCTCCCCAAGTGTAGTCATTCCATATCCCAAACAACTGAAATTAAATCAGAAACATCTTCAGTTTGGTTTGGGGAAGAGAATTTCAGTGCAATCAATTTTCTTAGAAGTAGGTAATCTATTTGCCTTGGTCATTACTTCAGTATCCTCCCATGTCTTTTGTTATAATTGGAGTAAAAGTCAGTTTCTGGCAAATTCATTTATGTAACTATTGAACCCAAGGGTGGAAAACTTCTACCTGCAAAAGTGTTGTTACTTCCCAATAGCATCTGATCCTCCTAAAGGAATTGGAATCAGAATGGAAATTTTTGAGAAAGTAACAATATCAGATAACCCTGTATGCCAAATGTGAATGATTCTAATGGGGCTCTCTCTCTCTCTTCCTTCCTTCCTTTCTTTCTTTTCCTTCCTTCCTTCCTTTATTTTCCCCCATTCTGACATCACTTTTACTTCTCCCTAAATTTGGGTCCTCCATATTAAACTTGCTTGACAGATTTGTGTCTTCCAGACTACAGGCCATTCACCTACAGTTGGTAGCAAACAGTAGGTACCAGCCCATATCCACTCATCATCCCCTGGATGCAGCCTATGCTTGATTCCAATCAACCTCCTCCCCTGGACCCTTTCAAGGCAGGGACAGCTCTATAATCCTTGCTAGCAGGAAGCAGTTTCAGAAGCCAAGATCTTCTCCTCTTACCCCAAAAGATTTTGGATCCCATTTGTTTAAGGGAGGAATGATGGGGTGATGGACCTGGACCCTAATTTTCCCATACATTTTTGGAACCCAGTCTCTGGCCTCTCGCCTGAGGCATCTGGCCCAGCCCAGCCCACATAGATACTCAATAATTCTTTAAATGCCCTTTCACCCTGGCTCTCTGATCCCTTAACTCCTTTCATTGGCTGTGCTTGGACCACCCCAGGCTATTTACCACTCCTTAATTCCAACCAGATCTTCTCACTATCTTTTCTCCTTTGTAAGTATCAGTCTTATTCCTACCAAACCCCACAGACTCACTAGTAACTCTGCCAGCTCCTACTGGTGTTACAACACTGCAGATCTACTAGGAATCTGCCTGCCATGCTGGTGTTACAATAAAACCTCACTACTTTGACTGAAAGAAGGCTTGAGTGGTCAAATTCTTTCGAGGCAGACTCCCGTACCATTTAGGGGTTCCCAGCACCCCAAACCACAACAATATTACACACCAACCCTACTCAATAAACTCCAGTGACTTCTTATTGTCTCCAGGAGATAATACAAAATGTTGCTTGGCATTCAAAGCCCTTTATAACTTACCTTCTTCCTACCTTTTCAGTATTACACCTTATTTACCACTCTTCCCCTCCTCTTCCTCAATCTTTATCCCCTCTCCTTGCCCTCCCCCCACCTATTCTCTGATCTAGTGACACTGACCACCTGGCTGTTCCATGAACCAGACACTCCTCTTCTCAGCTCTGGGTATTTTCTCTGGCTGTCCCCTATGCCTGAAACACTCTTCCTCCTCTGCTCCAACTACTGATTTCCCTGGCTTCCTTTAGGTTCAACCTAAAATCTCACCTTCTACAGAAAACCTCCCCCGACTCCTCCTAATTCTAGTATCTTTCCTCTGTTAATTCTCTCTTACTTATCATATAGCTTGCTTTGTATATATTTGTTTGCATGTTGTCTCCCCCATTAGAATGTAAGCTTCTTGAGGGCAGGGATATATTTTGCCTCTTTTTTTCATCCCCACTGCTTAGCACAGTGCCTGGCACACAGTAGACGCTTAATGTTTATTGACTGATTGACTGATCCTAGTGAAGTAAGTAGGAGAGAGAAGTGAGATTTAATTTTGGGGGGGGCAATTGGGGTTAAGTGACTTGCCCAGGGTCACACAGCTAGTAACTGTCAAGTGTGTGGTCTGAGGCCGCATTTGAAGTCAGGTACTCCTGACTTCAGGGCCGGTGTTCTATCCACTGCGCCATCTAGCTGCCCCATGTGAGATTTAACTGTAAACTTTTGTAATAACTATTCCTTGATCAGAAAACTCTATCTCCTAACTCCAAGAATTTTCACTGGCTATCCTCCATGTCTGGATTGCTTTCCCTCATCTCTGCCTCCTGGATTTCTTCAAGTTCCAGCTTAAGTCTCACTTTCTATGAGAAGCCTTTACTGATCTCTCAGTATGCTGTTCATTATTTCTAATTTATCCTGTAGATAGCTTGTTTGTACACAGTAATTTACACTGTACGTCCTCCATTAGTCTGTGAGCGCCTTGACAGCTGGTATCTTTTGCCCTTCCCCATAGTCCCAGCATTTAGCACAGTATGTGACACATGTTAATTATTTTAATTATTACATATTATATAATTAATACATATTTATGATGGACTGACCTCACTCATTCATCAAGACTGGCCAGACAGTTCAAAGAATTAAGAATCCCTTCTGAGCTGTGGCCATGAAGTCACGCCAGAGGTTCACAAGGCACCATCCACATATATGGCCCCATGAAAGTTTGAGCCCTGACTCGGGGACTCTGAGCAGTACCCATGCAGGACTAAGTAGCCCATCCTGTTATGTGGGAGCTCTCAAACCTCCAAGGAATTTGAGTATTTCACAGTTAGGTGTACTTGAAATCAGTTTCTGACCTTTACAACCATCTAGTAACAGTATGCACAAATCTTTAAGACGATGATGTAGTAGCTGCAGTACTTCACAAGATTTGTTGGATTCAACAAATAATATTAAGTATACTTTTGAAATGAGTTATAGCAATATTAGAAAAACTGGTACATGGATTCAAAATATGTGCAACAGCTATAGCTACGGGGATCAGACTGCATATCTGCCAGATGACCGACAGAATAAGTTCCAACTACCTTTAAGTTTGGCTGGCTTGATCCCAGACAGCTTTGCTAATCGGCATAGTCTTCTGGGTATTTCATGTGAGTAAAGAGTTGGCTAGAGATTCAATTATGTTTAAAAACTTGCCTTATCTTCTTCCACTGAATTGCTTTCTGTACCTCAGTTCGAGGAAATGATACAACTCTGTTATGTCACTTAGTATACTATTATAGCCATGTCAATTCATCGTTTTGCTGCATTCATTATAGTAAGGCAAAACACAGGGAACTCCATATTTTGGATCAGATAGAATAATGTATGTCACTACTAACTAGCTGGCACAAGTTCAAGATTCTAAAATAAACAAAGATTATGCTTTGAAAAAACTGCAAATAGGGGCAGCTAGGTAGCGTAGTGGATAGAGCACCGGCCTGGATTCAGGAGGACCTGAGTTCAAATCTGGCCTCAGACACATAACACTTACTAGCTGTGTGACCCTGGGCAAGTCACTTAACCCTACTGCCTAGCAAAAATTAAAAAAAAAAAACTGCAAATAGCATAAAAGGGGGAATTATCAAAAACATATTTAAGAAGAAGTGGGATTTTAAGAATATTTTAAAGGACCAAGAAAATTTTTATGTCCATTGATGTGCTCTGTCCTTCTGTTAAAAACCTCCTTTTATAAAAATAAACAAACAAACAAACAAATAAATAAATAAAAGGGGCAGATAGGTGACACAGTGGATAGAGCACCAGCCTTGGAGTCAGGAGGACCTGAGTTCAAATCTGGCCTCAGACATATAACATTTACTAGCTGTATGACTTTGGGCAAGTCATTTAACCCCAACTGCCTCACCAAAAAAAACTCAAAAAAAAAATTCAAATAAATAAATAACCTCCTTTTCTGTAAAAGTGATATTACAAAATACTATTTAAATCTAAAAAAAAATCTAAATCTGATCTTTAAAAAAAATACTTTTACAGACTTCCCTGTTTCAAGATGACAGATTGAGGAAAGGGATTAAGGATGGAAAGAAAACTGACCAAAGAGAATTTCTAGACTTCTTTATCACTTGAAGGATTAGCCTATGATCCACCCAAAGGATGTACCTTCTATTCCATTGTAGGGTAATTCTTCTATTACTCCAAAGAAATGCTTGATACTGATCTCTAGGAGGAGAAGGGGGGGGGGACTCCTAGAAGGGAGGGGTCCAGGAAGGAACAAAATGGTGACCTTTTTGCTCAACTATTCTGGAATGCTAATCCCAAATAGTATTTTTATATGTTGTGATTTTCTTCTTTGAGATTCTTACAAATGTCTAAAATTGCCTTGGGGCAGAGAGACTTGTTGGAGGGGATATATAAGAATTATGCCAGTTTAGACACTTCTGCCCTTGACAGAAATGGCTTGCATACTAGATTAATGTTAACTAAGATAAAAGTATTTCTAGTAGTCTTGTGCCTAACACACAAAATACATTCCTAAGATATGAAGACATTGTCTGTCCCAAGACAATGCAAAATAACTATCTGGATAGTAAAGATTGTTTCATTTTTGTAAAGCCCAGCACAGTGCCTGGCACACAGCATGTGCTTATATTTGTTCTGTGAAGTTTAGATTAAGTCAAAGGGCCATACATAAAGACCTAGAGGGCCACATGTGGCCTCAAGGCTGCAGGTTCCCCACACCTGGATTAGACTGTCAACAGTATATAAGAAAACAAATATAGCACAGAGATATTTATTAGACAATCTCAGAGAGCATGTCCCTTCTAGGCTAATACTCAATGCAGCCATAACCTAGCATTTACTTAAATACATGTGTGCTTAAAAATAATTTTGCATTTTGAAATCTCTAAATCAGATCTAATTTTAAAAAAAGCAACCTTACAGAATTGGGTGATTTGACCAGTATGAACATTGGGAAGATTTCTTCTGAATAAAACATGAATAAAAGATAAAAGACCACTTTAACAATAATTTAGTTTAAGGATTTGCGATATATGGATGTTGCTTCTGCATATGACAATCAGAATGTGGAGTCAGAGAAATAGATTTTTTGTTATTATTATTTCCACTAAAAAGCCAAGTGGAAACTTTAAGGGAATGCAGTCTGGGGGCTAGCTGGAAGCTGAACAAAAAGAAGTTATGTTAGAATAACAAAACAAATAGACTAACCAGTGGAGGTGGGGGGAACGGGACAGGGGCAGGACAAGCCAGTTCTGAGGCTAACACAAAAAGGGGAGTTCCCAAATAAAGGTAGGGGTCGTCAAATTTTGGGGAGTGGGAAATGTAATTAGGGGCAGAGACTCACATGGGGAAATTAGGCCCTTCGGATAGGCTGTAACCTGTGTAGTACCCAGAGAATGGGGAACAGGAAATAAAAAGATGTGCATTTGTCCATACATGTGCTCTCACATGCATTCTTACACATGCGAGACACCCGGCCTTCCCAGGTCATTAATAAAGCTTTTTCCTGATTCAGCAATGGCTTCATGGAATTCGTGATATTGATACAGATAACAAAGGGAAACTACTTTCTTTATGAGATGGGGTGCAAATTTCTTTTTGGTATTTAACCATCTCTAACATATCCTTTCAAATCAATTAACTATTGAAACAGATATAAACCTTATTCTTACCTTAATGCTGTTGAGTCCTGAAGGTCCCAGTAGTACGCCACAAATAATGTAACCAAACATTGTTGGCAATCCTATCATTGTACACAGCCAACCACATGGTAGAGATAACATTCCTATGGTAACAATGTCCTAAAAAAGAATGTATTTTAAAAATTAAAAATAACTGTTGAATGAACAAGGATGCTCTCTTCAGGTAGACTACTATGGCAATGAGGAACATTATTAACTTTCTCTTTCACCTGTCCAAACTCACCAGAGTATGTTGGGGTTTTCTAGGTATTTTTTTTTTTGAAGCAAGGGCTACCTCTTCATGTGAGAAAAGGGTGAAAAAGGAGATTGTAGGAAACATTGCTTAAGTGAGGTAAGATAAAGAGAAAGGGAAAAAAAGAATCCCTCTGTGAATGGCCTTAATATTTTCATTGAAATATCAACTGAAGTTCTCAAGAGGAAGGGACACAATCAGCAATTTGAAGAGATATGAGAATGTATGGAATGGTCACTGTGAAGAGTGAGTGAATTGATTAAAGAGGTTTAAAAGGACTGCCCCTTTGAGATGATGTAACATTAATTTGTCGTGTACTACAAATTGTATTACACAATCACTCTTTCACTCACCCCAGGCACAGTGATAAAATAATACCAATATTAAATACAGCTTATACCATCGAGGAGCTTATATTCTATTGGGTACAACTACTATCAACTCTATTTTATGAACTCATACAGCCAGTAAGTATTTAAACATATAAATCCAATTCTCTTGACTTCAAGTCCAAGGTTCTATCCACTATGTTATTCTGCATATTATTGTTACGAAAAATATAAAATTTATTATAGTCCTTGAATAACAAAAATACTTTGCAATCTTAACTTGGTGATTCTAGGATGCCTTCAATCAGATATACCAAAATTTTCAAAAGATGAAATTTCAATTTACAAAATAAATTACTCATGACTTTTTTAGGAGGAAGAATAGCTGTCAGACAAAGAAATAAGTATAATGTATTTAGTACCTTTAAAAAAAGTTGAGAATTATTGCTCTGGCAGAATCCTCCACAATAGGAAAGCTCCTAATTTTTTTTATGTTACTATCTAGATCAGGCCAGTACAACCTGTAGCCTGTGGGCTGGGCAGGCAGCTTGTGGCTCTCCAAAGGATTTCCTCCACATTCAAAGGATGTTTCCTCTACATTTTTCACTGAAATCTTTGTGCTTCAAGCCTCTGGCTGTAAGCAAGCCCAGGACGGTAGGCTGAAGGTTGTACAGGCCTGATGCAGATAATGAAGCCTAGCAACCTGGTATACTAAGACAAATAAAAATTAGAAGAACTAGCACACAATTGTTAAAAATAAGTATATTTTTACCTTTATGAAGTGATGATCTGCTCGAGGGATTGTTGAATCTCTGGGCTTAGTCAATATATACTGATTGTTTTGGGAGTCAATTAGCATACTAAGACCCAAATTATCTTCTACTTCATGTTTTGATACATTTCTCTTAGAATTGGCCTCCTCCTCTTCTACTCTCAAAACTGCCTCAAAATTGACCCCTCTTACCTGTAAGAGTAAATAAAACAATGATCAATAATGTGCACTTAAAACTCTTTAGAATTCAATGATGAGCATTCCTTTTTTGGTAAAACAAATTTTTTTTAGGGAGAAAATGGATAAAATGACTATGAAAGATTAATTCCAATATATCTATTAAATATAAGTTCAATTATATTGTAGGAAAACAATTATCAACTTATCACCTGAAAAATGTACCAGCATGAATAATAACTTCAACTTTATATTCAAAAAATAAACTTAAAACAACTTACAGAAACTCCAAATATTTTCTTCTTCTTCAATCATCTACTTTGGTGGGCTCAGATGACATGTTCAATGAGGTTAAAGGCTTTTAAAATATAGTTTTCTTCTCAACTGAAATTACTCAATTTCAGAAATATTTTTGCTGCTTTTCATTTTTCTCCTCTGATCTGTGTTTTTCTTTACTGTGCCTGCCAATGATCACCACCTTCCAACTGCCAGATTTCCTATGTCACACATACAGTTCAAAGCCAATTTTCAGTAGTAGTTCTAGCTTTTAATTGGTATCTTAGGTGCATTGATACAACTCCGAAGCATGGATTCCTGCTAAAGGTATTTATTGAAGCTACATCCTATGATCTTTCTCCCTTTTGTGTCAGTATTCCTTCTCCTCCCCTACCCCATCCATTCTCCACAGTATACTTCCCATAGTATACATAAGTAATGGGGTCATAGGTCTGATAAGGCTATGTAAGAAGAGTGGGAAAGATTTTATGATAAGTGGGGCTAACTATATTTGTTGAAAAAGCAGCAAACTGGAAGGGAAAGATAAGGGAATAAGCATTTATATAGAGCCTACCTACTATATGCCAGTACTCTAAGTGCTTTTGATCCTGATAACAATCCTGCAAGGTAGTTACTCCCATTACTAAACCCATTTTAGGAATGAAGAAACTGAGACAAACAGAGGTTAAGTGACTTCTCCAGGATCCCAGAACTAGCTAGTGTCTTGAGGCTGGATTTGAACTCAGATCTTTCTGACTCTAGGCCCAGCACTCCATTCACTGTGCCTTCAGCTGTCTCTAAAGTTGACAAATATGCTACTCTCTGGGAACTTCCTTCTATAGAGGATATTTAAAATTTCAGTGTAGCAAGTCAACCTAGTCCAAATTTGAATGTATAAAATCACTTAAACAATATTTCATTTGATTCAGTGTGAAGCTAAGATATGTGAAAAAAAAAATCCAGAAATCTTTTCTATCATATTACTTACTGACTTATTGTCATCAAAAGCATGTTCCTCTATTTCTTCCTCTAAACGATCTGCTGCTTTTCTTACATCTTCAAGAATTTCATCAAGCATGGACAGACTTTTGTTCTGATGTTGCATATTTTTAAGGGCTTCAACTTGATGCTTTTCTGCTGCCAGAAGCTCAACATATTCTGTTTCTTCCTGATTAGTTTTTAGAAAATTAAGAATGAGATTTAAAACAATAACAAAAGCCAAGGCAATAACTTATTCATAACAGTTTAAACCACCTTCCCAGGATTGAAAAAAGAATAATTACTTTGAATTAGCTTTACTGAGGGTCCAAAGTGTTTCCACTTTAGACATTCAAACAACTGCCTTCTTGATAGGCAATTGTTAATAACCTTTCATGTGTAAGAGTATAAGCTCACTTCAAGTTGGGATTTAATTTTTACTTTTACTCCCAGTGCCTGGAACAATGGCTGACAGAGTAAGCAATCAATAAGTTCCTGTTTAATTGAGTGAAGGGCTAAAGCTACTGTTCCAGGCACTAGAGACACAAAGATGAAGACACTGTCTCTGCTTACAATCTCATAGGAATGATAAACATGTAAACATAGAATTATACTACAACAAAATCTATCAGTAAGCAAGTATTTGTTAGGTACTTACTATGCATGTGTGAAGCACTGTGCCCTACCCACAGTGTGGATACGAAGCAAAAACAAAACCAATCCCTGCCCTCTACGAACTTACAGTCTAATGGAAGAAATAACGTGTATACAAATAAGTACATATAAGCATACAGAATATACTGCACTTAATTTTAGTGTTGTACTAGCAACTAGGGGGACTGGAAAAACCTCCTCAGAAGGGAGCATTTGAGCTGATTGTTGAAGGAAGTCAGGGAAGCTCAGGTGAGGAAGAAGAGCATTCCAGGCCCACAGGTAGGACGTGGAAGTAAAGAATAAGATGGCCAGAAAGCAGGAAAAGATTAGATTGAGAAGGGCTTTAAAAGCCAGAGAATATTATCCTAGAGGCGATAGGAAGCCACAGAAATTGACTGCATAGAGGGTGACATGGTCAGAGCTACACTTAGGCTAGTCGGGAGTAAGAAGAGGTGATGAGTGGCTGAGGCACATGGAGAGGTGATGAGGCAAAGGGGGAGAAGGGGACACGTACAAGAGATCTGGCACTGACTGGATATCTGAGGTGAGTGAGGTTTTAGAATAAAGGATGACATGTAGGTAGAGAACTTGGACGGCTGGAAAAATAGAAATATCCTTGACAATATGGGAGTCGGGAAGAAGGGCGAGTCTGGGGGGAAAGATAAGGAGTTTTGTTTTGGAAGTGTTCCAAAAGCCTGTAGGATATCCAGTTCAAAACAAAGTATCAGAAAAGGTCTGAGGAAGGAAGAATCACTTCCAGGTGGGAGTCTAGGAGAAGGTGATAAGGAAAGGCTTCATGGAAGAAGTAGGACAGGAACAGAGCTTTGAAGGGAGGGGCTTTAATAGGCAGAGATGGAAAAAGTCAGGAGAAGCCATTCTAAGTACAAGGAACAATGGGAATAAAAGGCACAAAACTAGAAGGATGGGAGTAAAAGAGTTTGCTGGAACGTAAAGCATTGGCAGTAGTATGAAAAGACTAAAAAGGCTGCTAGGCCCTTGAACAGCAGGAAAAAAAGTGTGCATTTCATTTGGTGGGCAAATGCCAGCCACCAGCATTTCTGAATGCACTGATTTTTTTCTAAAATGTCAGTGTGATGGATAAATCAGGTTAAGAGAAACTCTGGAGTCAGGAGACTAGAAAAGGAAGCTATTAAAATAGTACATGTGAGAAAGAATGAAGGCCTGAACTAAAGTAACTTTAATAGAAGAAAAATCAATCACTCAGCAAGTTATTTTTTAAGTGCCTACAACATGTCAAGTACTGTGCTAGGGGCTACAAATGCAACAAATAAAGCAATCTCTAATCCCAAAGAGCTTAAGTTTCTAATTTCTAACAGGGGAGTTGACAAGGACTAATATAAGTATATACATGATAAAAAAAAATACCAAGTAATTACGATATTTGAAAGAGAGGGCACTAGCAGTTGGGAGCAAGAAAGGCATCATAGAGAAGGTGGTGCTTCAACTGCTTCTTAAAGGAAAAGAGAAATTCTGTGAGGCAGATGAAGAAGGAACATTCTAGGTGTGGGGAACAGTGCAAAGCCAGAGATGGGAGATGGAGTAGAAAGGAGGGAACAGATGTGAGAAATATTGTAGAGGAAAAAAACAACTTAGTAATACCTAAATAATCTTGGGCAAATTACAAGCTCTTTGAGCCTCAGCTTTCCCATTCACAGTAGGAATAGTTACTTGGCTATCCTCCCCACCTGGATTTACATATACCTCACTGATCTGTCAGGAGGTTCAAATGATAGTCTTAAAAGTAATTTATCAACTTTCAATGCTTTAAAAATGTCAGCTATAATTAATTTACTATCATGTAGTAACTAACACTATTATCATAATTTATTCATGAATAGGACAGGTTAATCAATTGCCTATGACTCCACTCAACATTCCTGTGACCAAAATACCACGCCCACTACTCCTCTCCCAAAATATGCTAACCGTGTCTATCAAAACATAAGCTCCTTAAGAGCAAAAAATGTCTTGCTTTTTGTATTTGTATCCCTAGCACTTAGCAGAGTGCTTGACCCAGTTAGTCCTTAATAAATGCTTTTTTCATTCATTCATTTACATAAAAAACCAAATGATTTATAAAGCACTATATATGTGGGTGTATGTGCATATATGTATACACACACATACACACACACACACACACACACACACACACACACACACACACACACATATCACTTCATTTAATCCTCACAACCACACCCTGGGAAGAAGGCAGTATAGGTATTATCCACCTCTCTAAATATCAATTCCCTCATGTATAAAATGAAGATGAGTAGCTCACAGAAGGGACTTTGGAAGTCACCTAATTCAATCTTCTCATTTTATAGATGAGGAAACTGAGATTCAGAAAAAGTGACTTGAACATGACACAGGTAATAAATGGCAGAGCAAAGATTTGGACTTCTGATTCCAAATTTAGTGAGCTTTACATTGCTCAATACTGCGTGCTTCAAATGACTTCTTTTCCCACTTCTACTTAAGCATCAGGCCAGATATCAAACCAAGGTTCCTCCTTTCTCTAAGTTCATTATTCTTTTCAGGATGGTTTTTGTTATGGATCAGTTAATGTGAAAAGGTAAATTCTATATGCATGATTTAGATGTGGACACACAAAAGGTTTTCTAAAAGACAGGGCAAATGGACCAATAATATTCAGCATGACTACTATGCTAATTTACCAACAAGTTACTAAATGGATGTCAGCATTAAACCTACAAAGCCGTCATCCACCCACCCATCCATCCATCCATCCATCCATCCATCCATCCATCCATCTATGAATATCATCCCTTTTCCCTCTCATCTTGCCCAGGCTGGAAGTTTGGGGACTACCCACAGCCAATTCCACCACTTATCAGCAGGGCCTGTTGACCCCTCCTTAGGCAATCTAGTGCTCATCTCTGCCCCACTTCAGGGCCCACCACACTGAACTTAGTGTGGATAATAAACTGGCACTGTAGCTTATAACTCCTGACCTTAAAGAGATCCTCCAGCCTTAGCCTCCTTAGTAGGTGGTATTAAAGACATGCACCATCATATCCAGCCAATGCAGTACATTTATAAAAGCTACTTGCTTAGCTTGGATGTTGGGGTAAAAAGGTAAATGAGCAAAGGGGACATTCTCACATAGGGTTTGCAACAATAAGCTTATTTTAATGAATGGAAACAACATTTAGCAATGATTAAGAATTTATAATCAAATCAAATGGTTTGTGACATGTAAAAAAAATTCTGTTTCTGCTGTATTTACATATAGTGTATTAGGTAACAAAATTATCAATGGCAATCAGATGATCTGTTGTTTTGGGCTACTGCTGTGGTTTTAGGAATTTAAAATGTTTTCAATCCTCACTCATTCAGTAGGAAACTAAAGCAGAAGGATCAACAAAGCATTACTGTATTCTAGCTATGTACCCAGGTGGATCCTTATGTGGCACCAGATTCAAGAGGATAAGAGGGAAATGAAGAATAACCAGAGAGCCAGGAGGGCCAGTTATTTTCCAGTCTAGAAAAAGGTCACCCAGGATGGTTAAGTTCTGGGGAACTAGGCTAAAAAAATTGTTTACTAGCCAGGCCATGACTCATTTCCTTCAAGGCTCAACTCAAGCACCACCTTCTACATGAAGGTTTTTCTGATTCCCTAGTGGGCTCCCTTCCCTCCATAACTACTTTGTATTTATTCTGTATATACTTACATATGTACATGTGTTGCTTTCTCCCAACAGAGCAGGGATTATTTCACTTTGGTTTTGTATTCCCAGCAACCGACACAGTGCTTGGCATGTAACAGACGTTTAACAAACGCTGGATTGATAGAACTGGAAGGACCTTACAGGCCATCTAAAATAAATTCCTTATTTACAGATGAGGAAACTGAGGCCCAGAGAGGTTAATTAAGCAAGTTGCTCAAAACCATACAAGTCGTGACAGAAGTGAGAATGAAGGATTAAGAGACACTTTTCAAACCAGCAGTTATCATAACTAGGGGAAGGTGACTGGCGTGTTCCCTAGGTACCTGCATCTTGGGGGCAGTGGGGAGAAGAATGATGTTAAGCATTTCTGGGGGAGGAGATATGCTTTCTCTATTTTTGTCATCCATTGAACAGAGTCCTTTGCTAGTCATGTCTCCATAGTAGGAAGTGAGGAGTTGGGAGGGGAAGGCAGAAGAAGGGTAGTCAGGCCCTAGAAAGAGCATGGGAGAATGAGTCAGAGCAGGATCACAAGCTGCAAGTTGTCTGTGGGGCAGAGAGTGATAGAAATGAGCCTTCACCTTTCCCAATACAGGTATACTGTGGAGACAGCTGAGAGTGTGGTGTCTTAGGGGGACACGCTCTATCTTGGCAGCATCTATCAATTGAAGCTTTTCCCAACTCTAGGGGATGAGGTACTAGTTGGGTCAGGAAGGAAAGCTTCAATAGGCCAGGTGCTGCTTAGATAAAAGGAGGCCCCCAGGATACCACGTTTTCAGCTGTCACTTATCTCTCTGATACACTTGGTGGCCTATCACTCTGGGCAGCAACCCTGGTCTAGAGAAGAGTCCTTCCTTCCCAAAAAAGCCTAGGTCCTCTTGTTAGAGTTCCCACAAGTCCTGCTTCATCTTGGAGCACTGCAACCTCCTTTCTTAGAAAGACCATACCTTGAAATGTCCTTCCTCTGTGGGCAGTTCCTGGTCTATGATAGGATTTCCTCTGCCACAGAGGAGCTGGACCCTCACCTGTGAAAAGTCACATGGTAGGGGACCCTAAAATCCCTAACCCTTACTCCTTGCCCTCAATCACAGTCAAATAAATATCCAAGGCTATATATAGGCTTCCCTCATAAAATCTGAATACTTGATTTGTGTGTGTGTGTGTGTGTGTGTGTGTGTGTGTGTGTGGCAATTGGGTTTAAGTGACTTGCCCAGAGTCACAGAGCTAGCAAATGTTATGTGTCCGAGACTGGATTTGAACTCAGGTCCTCCTGACTCCAGGGCCAGTGCTCTATCCACTGCACCACCCTTAATTAAAAATGTTAACTATATTGGATTGAAACATTAAAGAATTAACATTTAATCTATTTTCATTTTAAATTGTAATCACTATCTGTACTAGATATTTTAGTCACTACTGTAGAAAAGTGTCCAAAAAACATAATGAGATTTTTGATTATGGCTAAAAATGTTTTTACAAGGATGAGTCAACAGCTACTAAGGAAAATTTAAGCACATTTTCAGAAACATGAACAAAAATGTTGACAATTATAATTATATTGTAAAAAACTATGAAAATACATATTAAGATATAGTAACATACACAGCATGTATAAAATGTCCATGAAAATGAAAGTCTGTTCTCCTATATCTTTTCACTTTAATTTTTATTAGCAGAATATAGGTAATGTAACCAATTACTAGTACTAAGGTTTTTGGTAATATGGAGTGCACTGTATATTTCATTATCCTGGGAGCAATGTTATATGCGAGAACACTAAGGTATTTAAGTAAAAATGTTTTCTTATATGTGAGACATGAGAGTGTATATTTTACTGCAAGCAGATACTTGAAATATTAGCAACTTGAACATTTTCCTTTTTGTTCTCTATATTTCTTCCTAGCTCAAAATGAACAGTAAAATCTTCTCTGTGAATACTTAATAAAATCTGAAAAAACTGACCTTTATTGCAGCTTCCCTCAAAGCCTCCAGTCGCTGTCTACTACTTTCTTTCATGTTTACAACATCTTTGTAATCTCCTTGCAGGGCTCTTTGGAGTCCATGGATAGCTTGAAAGACTGAATTCTCACTTTCATTCAATTCCTTTTGGAAAATTTCAAATGTGTGTACCTGAAAGAGTTTCTCTTCATCTGACAGTCCAGAATTCTTTTCCACTGCTCTTATTGCATTTTTTAGTTTGTTAAGAACCACATTCTTTTGTCGAAGAAGACCAGAAAGTTTTCTACAATTGTCTAGAACCCACTGCTTTCTCTGAGTAATAGCTGCTCCTTTCCCTCGATGCAACTTTATTGCATGTTTTGCTACATCTTCATGTTCTGCAGCAAACGCTATCAAATGAAATAGTGAAATCAAGATCCAAAGATAAATTCTTCCCATCACCTTCATGATCCAAGTTTGCAAAGCAGAGTAGTCCAATGATGGATGTTATTTAAAATGTGCATTTTAACACATGTTGGGCTGGAAAAGATAGTAAATACATGTACAATTTAAAATGACTCATAGAATGAAGACAACAGAATAACAAGATCAGTCAGTTATACCCAGAAAAACACTACCTAACAAATTAACTGTATAAGGTTATTTGTTTAGAAAGATTATAATCCCTGCCATATCTGTTAAAAGACAGTCTAGTGATCCCTAAGCCTTAGTCTTGAGGACACTGACTGCAAGGAACAGCATCAGATTTACCAAAACCCTTCAGCCTTCCCTCCTGATTGTCACTGATAGCACCATTTTATTCACAGGCACCCAGGTTTGAAACTTCAGTCATCCATGTCCCTTTCCCCTTCTCTCTTCAACTTACCAGTTCCTGATACCTGTACATTCTGCCTCCATATTTCTCAGATCTATCCCCTCCTATCCTTACATACTGATACTACCTTACTGAAATAGCCTAGTTGGATTCTTGGCTTCCAGCCTTTCTATTCTCTTATTTATTCTCTAGACTGTCTAGTTTTCTCAAAGCATAGACATGCCCACTGAACTCCCCTATTCAAAAATCTTCAGTGGCTTCTTATATAGGATAAAATACTTTTACTTATGGGCCTATGATGGATAATAACTGAGGAAATCATCTGAGCTATATGATTTATTAGCAAAACATGTATAATAAATAGGTCAAGAGACTTCCCATCAGTCCAAAAACCATGAATATAGCGACAGATTTTTGTGTATTAGAAACAATTAGTCAAATAAAACCAATTAATTAAAAGAAAACAATTAACCAGGACACAAAACATGATTTCTAACCGGAGAAAAGATTAGGGACTTTCCAAATTTCCAATTCCCTAAAATCAGAAAAAGAAGTGTTCCACTCCTCTCAAGTGCCTGTATTCAATCAAAGGAACATGGAAACAATAACTGATTAACCATATAAGATGTATGAGTTGACTGAGATGTGTAATTGTGAGAAAACTCCTCGCATCACTCCTTAGATCTGTCTAGTCTGCACAGACTATATCTGACTAGTTAGCATAACCTCGGTCGTTAATTAAGCAGCAGGTAGAAATGGTCCAGCTTCCCAGCCATACAGGGCTAGGTTCAGACAAAACAATTAAACTTTCTCACAACTGAATAAAGTTTTCTCACAAACCAGAAATTGGCCTATGGCCATAAGTTCCCAAAGTGGGCAATACCGTCCCAGAGTGGGGGGCCCCTCCCCTTCCCCTGGGACAGATGGGGGGATGGTAGTAGCCCCCGGTGAAATTGAGGGGCATTGAATAAAAATAAGGGGGCAGTGGAAACACAAGGAAAGAAGAAAATTTTGAAAAACCATTTGTACGTGTTTCATTAGTTGTGTAACAGAGATAAAGTCACAGTGATAATATTATTTTCCAAATAAACACACAAAATGCAAGTTATAGTCGGTTATAACATAACTGATCAGTGGTCAAGTCCGCTGAAAGGTCTTAACAAGCAAGTGTTGGCAAGTGAGCATGTTGCCCATTGTCGGGAAGTCCACCATGCATCAGCAGGAATATATGTACGTGCTCTGTTTACAATACAATACTATATGGTTATATGATGCAATCTTGCATCATCAAAATTTCAATGCAGGGAAAAAACCCATACATTTATAATAAATTATTAAATTTAAGATGCATCATTTTAAAAAACACAGTTTATATATTTTTGAAATGACACAAATTTTCTTAAAAGTTAAGGGGTTAGTGAAAGACTTCCAGGGGGCACTGAGTAATTTTTTTAAAAAGGGGGCAGTATGCCAAATAAGTGGGGGAACTTCTAGACTAGACCCGTAACCAAATAGAGAGGGAGACAGATCCAGAGCTAGCTCCAAAATGCAATCACAAGATGGAGTCAGTATGCTTCACTCAGTTTCCACAGACCACACCCTAACCCTACTCAGCATGAGTATTTACCAGTTTCAGAATCAGTTTACTCCTCCTTAGGTCTCTTGGTGCCCCCTCCCCTCCCCCCAACCCCCAGATCACCACACTGATGCTAGGCTAAATGGGGACACCTGATCAGCTTGGCCCACTGTTGCTCATAACTTTCTAGCTCCGAAGATCAGCAAGTCTTAGCCTGTCTAACAGCTGGGATTTGAGGTATGCACTACCATACTCAGCTCCAGCAAACCAGGCTTTGACAAAGCCCACTGGGATTCAAATGGAGCTACCTGACTCTGCCTTCAAACCAAAATCACTCTGGCTCTCACTGACTGGCCAATAATAGGTCCCAGCCCAAACTTCACTTGCTCATGTTTGAGTTTTAATGGCTCAGATTGGGTGTAAATAGCAATTGCTTCTATTCTGGCCAGAAGCTTTGAGGGTCTTCCCCATCCCAGACTGACTCTCTGGGGAAGTCAAACTAGGCCACCTTTTGCCTCAATTTTTAAGTAGCCTTTAATCACTGAATTGGTGTTATGTCAGACAAAGTGAGAACTGGGAAAGAATTTAGCTTAAAAAGGCTAAGGTCTCCTGCTGCATCCTGGGCCATAGCCAGTCATCCTGAAGTATGACTTGCCATTGCACTTCGGTGACTCTGGAGGAGAAAGTGAAGCTGATGATTGCACAGTCCAGCCTCACTTAAATCCCATTCAATTTCCAAGTCAAAGCCTCACCCTCCAGATATCATTAGTCCTCTTCAAGGACAAAGACCACCACCACCACCACCACCACCACCACCACCACCACCACGCTCAGCCAGACTTATTTCACATTAAAATGCCTCTCTCCCCTGCCCCTTTGTGTACTCTATATTCCAGCCAAACTGGTCTCTACCTGTTATTCCTCAAATCTGAGTCCTTCTTTCTCTTTCATTCCTCCAGTATTTTTCCTCCTTGACCCTACTTCCTTCAAGTCTAGGCTCTCGCACTTATTTAAGTACTACATGAGTTACCTGGTAAAGTTTAAAGTATGTCAGGTTTGGAGTCATAAGACCTTGATTTGAGTCCCAGTTCCAACGTTTCCTACATGTTTGACCCTGGGCAAGTCATTAACTTCTCTCAGTCTCAATTCCTCATGTGTAAGTTAAAGGACTCAGATGCTTAACAACAAGTGGCCAAATAAAAACTGTGTACACGAATATAATGGGATATTACTATGCCAAGAGAATTTATGAATGTAACAAATTCAGAGCAGTCTGGGAAGACTTGTAAGTTGGCTAAAGGTTAATTTTGTCTCAAAGAACCAATTTTTAGTTTTTATCACTTTTATTATCTTTTTTATTTCCAATTATGTCTCCTTTAACTTTTAACATTACCTATTACACTTATTTTGATTTTATTTTAGCTTTCTAATTTCTTGAAAAAAAAATGCTCTATTTTGTTAACTCTATTCCTATAAGCTCTCTCTACTCCTTCCCCTTAAACCTGCCCCCCCTCTATTTTTTACTCCTTTCCCTAATTTTACTTTACCTGTTAATTCCTTTTCCTCTCTTCCTTTTTCTAATTCTTCCCTCTTTTTTCCTCAGTAAAATCTCCCTTCTCTTTAATCTCTCAACTGTTTGTTTTTTATTTTCCTTACTTTTTTCTAAAAAGGATTTCCTTCCCTCATTCCCTTTGTCTATTCTAGACTTTCATTCTTTGATCCTTGATCCTTTTATTTAGTCTGTGTTTCTCACAGAACTAAGGCTTCTAAACTACCAAATCTGAGTTCCTTCTAAACAGTTTTTATTTTAGAGAACTGGAGAATTTGTCACTTTCTCCTTTTTTCCTGTTGTGCTCACTCTTAGAAGTATCAATTACTACAGGAGACAGAAAGGATAGAAATATTTGTCCCTTGGTAGAAATTTTCCTGCATCTCGGATCATGTGGTCCACTTCTACTCCCTACTTTTTTCCATGTTCATTTTCTTTCCCAGTTGCCATAAAATCTCTTTTTTGGGTCCATGCCCTCCCACGATTCTGGATGCAGATTACTCCCAGAAGCCGATTCCCCCTCTCCAGATACGCGATGTTAACTCTGAAGCACAATATTTTCTGGTAAGGGAGAGTGGGCAGAAATGAATTTTGCTACTTGTTATCATAGAATGATAATGTGAAGGCAAAAGCAGGGTGTGCTGACAGAGACTGTAGTGACAGCAAGGAGTCAATAGCTGAGAGTGGATTCCAGAGCACAAGCCTCTGTGCAGTATGGAAGGGCTACTTAGTAATCAAGTTAAAGACTGGGGATTACCTTTATCTGCTGTGAATACATCAAGTTGTCACATCATTAGACTTCTTGGTGTCTTGGCAGCAAGATTCTGAAATAACTGAAGGCAGCTCATTACTATCAAAGGTGTCACTATCCTCCCAGTAATTCAGGCTTACAACTTTGGTTGTCAATGTTCACCCCTCACACTCACTCTTGTGCATATTTCTTATTTAAGGGAGTTTTGTGGTAGAGAGTGGGGCAATGGATAGAGTACTGTCCTGGAGACAAGAGGACCTGAGTTCAAATTCTTCTTCAGACACTTAGTAGATGTAACCTCTATTTGCCTCAGTTTACTCATCTGTAAAATGAAGATAATAATAGCACCTGACTCCCAGGGTTGTTGTGAGGGTCAAATAAAATAATACTTGTAAAGTGCTTAGCACAGTGCCTGGCACATAGTAAGCACTAAATGTTAATTATTATTATAATTGTAATTATCATTATTGTTAAGAAGTCTTAAAAGAATATGTCTGTTCCTCCACCTTTCTGGTCATGTCCCAAAGATCTCTTAATTGCCAAATCTAATAGTCTTGTAATATGTCCTGACCTCTCTGCAACATTTGACACTGCTTACCCTCCCCCTCTAAGATTATGTTACCCTAGCGTCTCCTGTCCTGCTATCTGTCTGACCATGCCTTGTCAATCTCTTTTGCTGGATCTTTATCTAGGTCAAATCCAAAAACTTTGGGTATTCCCCAAGGCTTTCATTTGGACCCTCTACTCTTTTTCCTCTAGACCAGGGGTTAACCTTGGGCCACGAACTTGTTTTCCTTAAAGATTTTGATAAGTATATTTCAATGTAATT